ATTAAGAGAGCGTCGGCCCACTGAGAATTGTTTGCAGCTGATAGCGAAGTTTTTAGTTTTCCGTGAAAACGTTCAACCAACCCGTTTTCTTGTGGGTGGTAGGCAGTCGTTCGGAAGCGAGTGAATCCTCAAAGTGTTATCAGACAACGGAAAAGTTCAGATTCGAACTGACGTTCATGGTCTGTAGTGTTAGTTGAAGTGCAGCCGAAGTTTGCTACCCATCGCTCGTCGAGGGCGCGGGCCACTGCTTCAGCAGTGACATCGTTGATAGGTACTACTTCTGGCCATCGAGTTAAACGGTCTACGCAAGTTAAGAGATAAAAGTATCCATTTGAATCTGGTAAAGGTCCTACCAAATCCAGATGAACATGGTCGAAACGAGCTTCCGGAGCTTTGAAAGAGCTTGAGGGACATTTGTTGTGTCTGATAACCTTAGCTTTCTGGCAGCTTACACAGGAGCGTGCCCACTCCCTCACGTCTTTTTTCATGCCAGGCCAGCAAAACCTTTCTGCTATAAGCTTGATGGTTGCACGAACACCTGGATGAGAAAGTTTGTTCAACGTATTGAAGACATTGCGTCGATAATGTTTCGGCACGATTGGGCGATCCCTACCTGTAGATGTGTCACAAAGTAAGGTTTCCTTACCTGTTCCCATTTGTTTGATGCGTAGTTTGACGGTTTAGACGACAACTCGTGCTGACGATCACTGTCTTCTTTTTGAAGTTGGGCGAGTTTAAGAAGGCTGATTCTTTGGAATCTGGTCAAGGAAGTTTTTGCTCGTTTCCGTTATTGAAGTACGGTACGTCGGTCTATTTGCAGTTTACGGACCCAAATTAAAAATAGAACCAATCGCTAATTTAGGTACCAAAGTCCATTCGCAATTTACAAATAGTCGACCCAAATGTCGTTCTTTAATTTTGTACTTGTCTGAAGAAGAGCTTAAAGAGAAGGTAAACGGTTTATGGTCAGTGAAAAGGGTAAATTCACGGCCTTCGATATAGTGTTGGAAATGCCGTACAGCACAATACATAGCTAGGAGTTCTTAACCGAATGTGCTGTACCTCGATTCAGTGTCTAGCAACCGTCTAGAGAAAAATGTCAAGGGCTGCTAGAATTAGTTAGCCTATTATTGTAAGACTCCTCCGATTGCTAAGTCGGATGCGTCTACTGCGATACTAATGGTTGCTTCAGTGTCCTGTTGATCAAGCATTACTGCTTGAGCGATAAGTTCCTTAGCTGTGGAGAATGCTTTTCGCGCGGTGTCGTCCAGCTTGATGGATTTCGCATTTCCACGAAGTTGGTCGGTAAGAGCTTTCATTGGTGACGCGCAATTCGGTATGAAACGTGTATGTCGAAAACTTACAGAGCTATTTATTTTGAAGATTTGTTTACCGCTACAAGACCATTTCGAAGTCATGTTACATGTAAAAATGTCACGAGTATTCAGAGTTTGAGAACACCGTAACTATGTATACTTTTATAATCGAGACGTACCAAATGTCAGAAGCAAAGAGGCTCAAAGATATATTTGATAGGCTGGCGATATATCGAGGAGTGATCAATATAAACTGGCTAGGGTTCGTGGGATAAGTGAAGCACAGTTTACCAATTCGTGATCTGGTGTGCATGCGTGACCGAGCGATACTACATTAAAACTAGTGCGTTCAGCATCATATGTCGAAGACATACATAGTTATACATTCTGGGAATGTATTTATTACTACACCTGCTATGGACAGGATGGTTTCCATGATATACCCCCATGTCTCGATCACTCAGTTATATATTGCTGGCTTTTAGTAGATTAGGTCATTGCTGAGATGAAAATTTTCACTATCTTTGGTAGTAATTGAAAACACCGCTTGTCTAAAAATAAGTTACAGGTGACAGGTTTCATCACAGCATTAAACGTTGACTATGTGTATGTTATTGTAACACAATAGCTTTTCAGGTCTCAACTACCCCAGTTTATCAGACACTGACGCAAGTGATGCCTGGATCTATTTGTTTTCGAAATGTTGGCTGAAGGCCTCGGAGCACTTACTGATCTTACCAATGTTGGTCTCCAATGTATTTGCGAGTATTAATGTGACTGTCATGTCACTAGACGTCCCGTCCTGCCCTACCGCAGATGCCAGGAATACTGGGCAATAAGTACATTTAGACGACAAACATAAGCTTGTAGAATTATGGTCAACTTCGTTATTAGTACTATTATTACAACAGACCTAATCATAATAGATGTGAAAACTTAATCTGTAAGACCTTAAGTGGAAGTCACATGATTGTCTACTCTGAATCGTATCGTAAAGATTCGAGATATAAAGTTTGGTGTTTCTAAATAACACATTTAGGTTAAAGATTGAATAATATATTTAGTAAGAGTAAAGACAAGTTATACACAGTGACCACGCCTGTTATGCTGAGACATGCCACTTTATTGAGTTGAGTTCAACGTTCTTGCGTACTCAATTGTTGAACTTTTCTTCGTGTCAGTCATTGAATACGAATCTTTTCAGTGATTATATGCTCTGCTTCGAAGCAACTACAAGCTCACCGATAGAATATGTTTGGTAAAAATAAGAATGGGCCACAGAGTGACTACGCCTAGATTTCCGAGCAATCCAGTTCCTATTATGTTCCTTTACTAATTTTCCTCCACCATTCAGTGTTCAGTATAAACGCTCTTATTAGTGCGCAGTTAGCTCGGGGAATCATGCGTTCCGGAGTTCGTGTAACTTCACTGTCACGACGACTTCGTAGATTGTGTCGTTTTTCTGTAATGTATATTTATTGTTATCAGCATGGAGTATGCATCAATCAAGCTCCTAGCATTTGGCTACCAAGATGTTGACAGGAAAAATAGTCTCAAGATAACGCTACTCCACCTCTCTCTTGTTTTATCGGTCTCGTTCGAACAATACGGAATCCAGAAAACACTATTGGTTTGTGCCAATGTCATAAGGTCAACTTTTTACTTATTCTATGATATTGGTTCATGTACAGATTCCTACCCATCTCAAGTTTCCCTTCAAGGTGGAGAGCTATACTCGGATTCACATTCGTGTGTCAGTTGGTTTACTATAGATAACGTAAATCACCTTGTAAAGCTTGATAATGCTAGGTACATACAAGTACTGTCATTGAATGAGCTCCAGAAACGCGACAAACACTAATTGAAAATAGGAACCAACAGAATATTCGACCCCAATCACACAACTAGGACAGACCGTCCCACTAAGTAGACACGGAATGGTCCAAACGTGTCTTGAGGATAGCAACCTGATTACTCTGTGGCGATCTTGATAATTTTTCGCTTTTCATCCAATCATTTAAAAATAGAAAAACGCTACCATAAGCGAGCTTATTTATCACACTGTAATTGTTCTTGTAAAACTGACTAACCACTAGTATATATGACGACTTTTCCGGATTTATTTGTCCATATAATTTATATGTCATTTCTTTGATATGAAAACTGAGTTACCTAATTATGTTTTGTTCAATTGGGAATAGTGAAAATACACACTACGTTTGTATATTAATTCTCACTATTTATTAGCGCATTTAAATGTGTGGAATATGAACATCCGACTAAATCTCATATTTAGATTTCAAATAACACAACTATATATACAGAGTTAGCCGGAATTAATATAAGGGTAAATATTTGCTTATCGCCATCAAAAGATGTCAGAATAATGACTGCAACTTCATTAACCATGTCATACCTTCATAAGAAGTCATAGTGAATACGGAAATTTACATTGAAAGTGGGACATTATTCCCTAGACACCTAACCCCCTTTTTTAAAAAAAAATAAAAATACATCAAGTAAAAATAAATTTCTACACATACATATATGTATCAAAAAAATCAGTTATATATATATATATCATATATGCACAAAGTTGCCACAGTAAAGGTGAAAAAATAAAACACATAAAGTACAAATGCACTTGACTGGATTATCATCAATCATTACATTATAATTAGAAACACAAAATAACATAATATTCATATTAGATAGAATAAATAAATTAATAGTTATAATATTAACAATAATCAATTACTATATATGCAATTAAGGGGTAATTTGTTAATTAAAAGAATTAAACAAATAAACAAAAAGAAAACAGAAAATAAGCTCAGTGCACAGAAACTGGCGATGAGTTTGAAAATCTTTCTTCTTATGGATTAAAACGTATCCATATATATATATATATATATATATATATATATATATATATATACAATATGGATACTTGTATAGTATCTCATACACAAAATTGTGAAGATAATAAACACAGATATGTGAATTAAAAAATACATACAATAAAATGTTCACTTTAAAAAAATATACCGTCTACACATGATGATTGAATGTTGTTGTTGTTGTTTTGTTTTTTTTCAAACAAAACAAATTATATTCAACTATAATAAATTTCAAGGTGAAAAATGGCTTTTGACAAAAGAACGAAAACAAGGAAGCAAATTAAACAGTAAATAATCAATAATTATTATATATAATTTTTGTTAAAAAAAAATATTGAATTTTTTTTCCCGAGAAGACGATTCAACATGCATAGAATTAGTGTTAAAAAGATGTTTGTTTATCTGATTGTTTGATTTCTTCTTTAGGAACGAGGAGAAAAAAAGGAAAGGGCAATTTTCAACTTTCATTTGACAGATTAATAGGGAAAGAAGAGAAAAATAAAAAGAGAAATATGATAGATTCAAAAGGAAATTGAGTATTGAAGTATATGTATACCATACTAAGATTAAGGTAATGAAAACAACTGCTTTTTAGCATTTTACAAATAAGTATATAAATAAATGAAATATAAAAAAAAGACATTGGAAAAACCATGTGACAGATTGTAGTGTATGCAGTTCACCGGATAGAGGGACAATAATAACAGTAATACAAAATGCATAATTATATATATATATATATATATATATATATATATATATATATATATATATATATATATAATTCCAAATAATAATAACCCTGATATTAATGTTTTAAAAATATTACACCGAAAATACAAACATATACATTTTATGCATTGTTGTTGAATAGTTAGTTTTTGATGTTCTACAAAAAAGGGAGAGAATAATTTTTCAAGTCACAGGAACAATCGAATTTTCGTGTTCATTTGAATTAGATAATGTGGCAGGATGAATTGATTTACCAGGGGAATTTGCAACAGCCACTGCACTTGCTAACCTAGTAGGATTAATTGGTTTACGTCTATTATGTGGTAAGTGCTGTTTATCCGCATATCGATCTGATGATGACGATGTTAAGTGATCTGTAGTGGTTGCCGTATTAGTTGATGTTGTCACCATTGACGGTTTATGTTGTTTTTCAAGAGTAATATCATTGTCGTACAACGTATCATTTGATTCTTCAATGGAATAATCACTTTCAGCATCTGAGACAATTTCAAGTTTAGACTGATTATTTCGTTGAATATATGTTCGATAATTATGTATCCAACTTAAAATCTGGTATGCGATTGTGCGTGTGAGGGAATTCAAAACAAAAAAATACAATTATCAAAAGCGAAAACCAAGCACATCGAGATCAAAGTATGATGGATCAATAGGTAAATAGTTGTGAGGACGATATTAGAGTTAGACGTGTCAGTCGGTCAGTTACTAATGTAAGATCTAGCATGGATTTTTCTCGGCCCAAGTTGGTACAATTACCATCAACGTAGCATGAGAATAAGAGTATAAACGGATAAGATCGAAGTGTGAAAATTTGCGAATGACGTTTATCTCAACAATTAGGAGCTTATGTGGCCGATTTTACATTATGAGACTCAACGTCGCTAGCCATCGATTGATAAGTATTGTGGTTGTCCAAACCAAAAAGTTTCCACCTAACGACGTAGCCCAGAACAAGGTCAACCAATTGAAGGGACCTCTTAGTTTGCTTGTGCCTAGTTCTATTCCAACATTTTCCAATGTCAGACAACGTTGGATATCGACGAAGGTGGGGTGAAATTTATAATAATAATTTGACAAAATTCGCTCAATAAATCAGATTATTTTGTTAAGTAATAGCAATGAAAATGTAGTTGAATGGTGCCTTTGTAGTGCGTGCTACTTATATTGATATAAGTAGTATATAACGTGAGTCAAAAGAACGTAATGGCTGGCAGCAGAAGATGGAGAAGATCAAGAAAAGAAGAGCGAGGAAACAATGGAATTTGTAAGAAATCGCATGAGCAATGAAATGCGAGACAATGGATTGATGTTTGCAACAGCAACAGCCCGGTTTGATATGATAGAATGATATTTTGCAAATTAACGATTTACTATATGGTTTTTCTATTTTACCAAGTAATTCTGTAATTTGTCCTAAATACAATTTGGCTGTCCTCACCCGTGTTCTTCTTCACTACATTTGGTGTCGCTGCCTCCACTGAGGATGAAGATCCCATGGCCGAAGGAGTTTGAGGACGGAGATGTGCTGAGCTTCCTGAAGGGGTTTGAGGCCGTGGCGGAGCTGGTGGGGTGAAGAAGCCGAAGGCGAAGTTGGTGGTGCTGGGGACGCTGCTGAGAGGCAGGGCGAAGGCGGTGTATGACAGCCTGGACGGTGCTGGCGGGAAGACCACATGGAGGCAGTCACGGAGCGGTTGGCGGCGGAGTTTGACAGCCCAGTGGACAGAGAGGACGCGCTGCAGAAGTTCCGGTTGGCGAGGTTGCCGGTCGATGGGGACCCACTGGTGCTGGCTGTGGAGCTTACCAGATTGTTACGCCGTGCGCTGCCGAGTCTGGATGAGGAGTCGGAGGCACAGTTGTTGGCGTCACAGTTTATCGAGAGTGTGCCTGCCACCGTCTCCCAACAGCTGAAACTGGTGAACGCAGCGCAACCGATGGATATCAGTGAACTGGCGAAGGTGACTCGTCAGCTGATGACGCGAACAGTAGCTCCGGTCGGGTGCGGAAAGCGGGAGATGAGTAATGTCGAGAAGATTAAGGAGCTGGAGCGCGAGATTGCAGCAATACGAGTGAACAATAAAAGGAACGATAAATGTTACGCTTGTGGAGGGACAAGACATTGGAAGATAAACTGTCCAACAAGACGAAGACGCAGATATGTTAGACGTTACAACGAGTGTTCTTTCTATCCTAGGAATCTGGGGATTGTTGCGTTAGTAGACAGAGGGGCAGTATATACGAGAGTGAACATAAATGAGCGAGATTTAGTTTGTCTGATCGATACAGGTGCAGCAGTATCGTTAATAGGCAAAGAGCAATGTAAGAGAATCAAGCCGTGTACATTAGCTGTCCACACGATAGGGGGCCATATGTTAGAGGTGTTTGGTGTATCTAACAGTATCGTAAAAGTGGGGGATGCGGAGATAAATTTTCCGTTCGTCGTAACCACAAGCTTATCGAGACCGATATTAGGAGCAGATTTCCTAAGAGAAGTAAAAGCGATAGTTGACTTAAGAAGCGGTAAGGTGGTCACGAAATATGGTTCATTGACAATACACGAAAGTAGCGAAGTGGCTGAAATAAGAGTTGCAGCGGATGTCTCGTCAAAGAAACCAAACATTCACGAGTTATGCAAAAAGTACGCGAAACTATTCACTGGAGATGGGGAGCCGTATGGATTTTGTGACAGAGTAAAGCACGAAATACCGATAAAGAACAGTCGAGTAAATATATTTGCAACACGTCGTGTCCCGGTGCATTTAGAGGCCGAGGTAAATCGTCAGGTCCAGGAAATGTTAAAAGAAGGTATAATTGAGGAAGCGGACAGCCCATATAGCTCGCCGGTACTCTTGGTAAAGAAACCAAATGGAAAGTATAGATTTTGTGTCGACTTCAGAGAATTGAATAATATAACAGACCTGAAGCCTTGTGCAATGCCAACAGTGGTGGAAACATTAGATCGGCTACAGAATGCCACGGTGTTTACAGTGCTGGATTTACGGTCAGGTTATTGGCAACTGCCTATAAAAGAGAGTGATCGGAGCAAGACAGCGTTTACTGTACGGGATAAACAGTATCAATTTAAACGAATGCCGTTCGGGTTGGCGGGTGCACCGTTCACGTTCAGAAGATTAATGACACTACTGCTCAAGAATCTAGATAATGTCGAGGTATATGGCGACGACGTAGTTGTGTACAGTCAAACAGAAACAGATCACATCAAACATGTGGAAGCGGTCTTAAAGCGAATTGACGAATTTGGACTTCGGATTAATAAGGACAAGTCGCAGATAGCGAAAAGTAGCGTCACATTGTTGGGACATAAAGTGGGAAATGGAGAAATAAAACCATTGCCGGAGAAAATTCTTACCATAAAAAATATTGCAGTACCTAATTCGAAAAGGAAGTTGAGACAGTTCCTGGGAAGAGCGGCGTTCTACAGTCGGTTTGTCAAAAATTTCAACGAAATAGCAGCACCCTTATATAAGTTATTGAGCAGCACCAAGTTTACGTGGACTGAGACTGCCGAACAAACGTTCAACCGAATCAAAAACATGCTAGACGATCGCCAGATGACGCTTAGACTGCCTGAACCGGGAAGACTGTTTACAGTGGCCACAGACGCGAGTGATCATGGTATAGGTGCTGTGTTGAGTCAGGCTGATAGAGTGGTGGAATACGCGAGTCGCGTCCTCACACCTGCTGAACAGAAGTATTCAACCATCGAAAAGGAGTGTTTAGCGATCGTGTGGGCAGTGGAAAAATGGAGACCATACCTTTTAGGTAGACGATTTCACATTGAGACGGACCATAAACCCCTGCAGTGGTTGAAAACAGCAAGAGACCCCCGAGGGAAGTTGGCGCGATGGATGATACGCCTGCAAGAATACGATTTCAGTATCGGCCATGTTCCAGGAAAAGAAAACGTAATGGCAGATTACTTGTCAAGACCAGATATGGAAGCCGACCTGCCATTAACAGCATACGCGGTGAATAGTTTAGAGGGAGACCCATTAGAACTCGTCCGGCAGCAGAAAGCTGACCCTAACCTTCGAGAGGTAATCAGAGTGATAAAAGAGGGAGCAGACGTAGATAAACGAACAATGGACAAGGAGGTAATAACGCTGCTTCGGCAAAAGGACCGACTGAGAGTGAACTCATATGGAGTGCTGACCTGGCAGGACGATGATGAAAATTGGGTGGCGGTGATCCCGAAAGACTGGCGGCGTAAAGTGATACACGAGTGTCACCAGGTAGCACATACAGGCATCGCAAGAACGACGGACTTACTACGACAAAGTGCATACTGGCCGAGCATGAGAGACGATGTGGCTGAATACGTGTTAACCTGCCAGCAGTGTCAGCTAATGAAAAGCGATCGATACACACAACCGCCATTACAGTCAATCCCAGTCAGTCAGTCAGTAACAACGTAGAACTTCGTACGTACGTACATCAGTTCGAGTTGCCACACCACATTAGCACAGAGATGCAGTGGTCGATTCAAATCCCGTAGTGGTACAGGTAGCAAGAGTATAAGCAGTAATCGGGAAGATTAGGGTTTGGAGATGTTATTTAAAGAGTATAATCCAGTGAAAGAAATTTGGAAAGAGGAAAAAAAAGGGACATGAAGAATTCAGAAGATTAGAATTTGGGAGAACACAGAGAGTGGATGCACCTGCGCCATTGCAAACGATTTTGAGCCATGTCATTCAGGGTCACTAACCATCGGTTGCTGTCATCTCGCGGTCCCCAACCAGGTAGTCTACACCTACCAACATGACTCAGTTCACTTGTCAGTGACTTCATGGATTTGTGCCATGTTTTGGTTTGGCCGCCCCTAGCTTTCTTCCAACCTACTCCTATACCACTGAACATAGCACGTCGAGGCAGTCGGTCGTTGGGCATACGTAACACGTGTCCCAGCCATCTCAACTGATGAAGTTTCACTACTTCATCAATTGATTTGCCATCCTTACCTAGTACCCGTTTCCTAACAACTGTGTTACTCACTCGATGGTCCCATGATATACGAGCAATGTTTCGAAGACACCTATGATCAAATACTAGTAGCCTACGGATATCCTCTACTCTTACCGGCCATGTTTCACTGCCATAAAGTACGACGAAACGAACTGCTGCGCAGTAAACACGTCCTTTGGTTGATAGACGGATATCTCGCCTACACCGTAAATGACGCAAGTTGGCAAAAGCTAGTCGAGCCTTCTGTATCCGTGCTGAGATTTCGTCACACACTAAACCACAAGGGCTGATGAGACTTCCAAGATAAGTGAAGCGGTCGACACACTCAACTACTTCACTCCCTATCACTAGTTCGGGTGTCGATGTAACCCAATCCTGAAGCAACATTTTGCATTTCGAGGGAGAGAATCGCATCCCGAACATGCTTGCATTGTTGCTTAGAGTGGTCAGAAGACTCTGCATTTTGTCAGCGTCTTCACCAAATAAAACTATGTCATCAGCATATTCTAAGTCAACAAGTGAACCTCCTGGTAGAAGTTCAACCCCTGTAAATTTAGATGAGGAGAGTGTTATCTCTAAAAGTACGTCAATGACAAAGTTGAACAAGAATGGAGAGAGTGGACAGCCCTGACGAACACCACTTGAGGTGATCAATTCTGATGACAGTTCGCCATAAGCTCTCACTCTACCAGTTGTGTTCGAGTAGAGAGCCTTTATAAGGTTAATGTACTTCTTTGGTACTCCTTTCAGTGACAAACACTGCCATAGAACCTCACGATCAATAGAGTCGAATGCCGCCTTAAGGTCGAGAAATACTACCATTGTGGGGCGTCTGAACGTGTGTCTGTGTTCCAGAACCTGACGTAGTGTGAATATCTGATCTATACAACCACGTCCAGGTCGAAAACCAGCCTGGTTTTCTCTAGTCTGCTCTTCACGAGCTTTAGTTAGGCGTCGAAGTATTATTGAAGCTAATATTTTAGACACTATATTAGTCAAACTGATTCCTCTGTGATTGTCACAAGAGGACTTTTGTCCTTTCTTATAGACTGGCACAATCAGTGATTGAGACCAGTCAGGTGGGATTACGTCCAGTTCCCAAATTCTACCTAAGACCTCGGTTAATCTCATTGCTAATACTGGACCACCATTCTTAAAAATCTCAGGAGTAAACCTGTCAGGGCCTGGTGCTCTCCCTCGTTTCAGATTTCCTATGGCTTTTTCAACTTCGTAAAGGGACGGAGGACCTACATTAACTTGCCATTCAGGTTGACTGGAGATCGTGGGAAACCGAAGTGTGGCTGAAGTCCAGTTGAACTGATCCCTAAAGTGTTCTGCCCATCGATCCAATCTCCTGGATTGACAATGAATAATATGTCCATCTTTCTCTGAGATTGTTTCGCTAACGGTCGGGTTCCTAATTCCGGTTTCCTTAACGAGTCTAAACAATTGTCTGCTATTACCTATTGCCGCTGCCTTTTCCATCTCTCTTGCTTTCGCCACCCACCACTGTTCGCGATCATTGCGTAGGCTTCTGGTCAGCTTGCGCTTAAGCTGACTCCGCTCTTCATTATGTTCAGAGCCAGGTGGAATGAGTTTCCGAGCATTTATCAGTGAGATAGATGCTGCTGAGATCCAGTGTTGCTCCCTAACCTTCTGGTTTACCTTACTAGCAGATATCACTGCTGTTTCCACAGCTTTTCGGATATCATTCCATGCTGCCTCGGGGTGGGCATCACATACATGGCTGCCTAACTGTTTTCCTACTTGTTCCTGAAATATACTCTTAGCTTGACTATCATTAGGTAGGGCCCTAAGAGGTTTCCTTGCAGCATCTTTCCTACGTCCAGTAAGACGCAAGCAAATACGCGCTCGCACTAGAGCATGATCTGAATCTAGGCATGTGCTCCAGAATGAGCGACAGTTTTCTATCGAGCCCCTCCATCGGTGGCTGATAGCGATGTGATCTATTTGGGTCCAACGTTGGGACGAATTAGGGGGTCTCCATGTTAAAAGATGTTTTTCCTTATGCTTAAAGTTAGTATTCACAAGAAAAAGGCGGTTATCTGAGCATAGCTGCAACAGACGGTCGCCATTATCTGTTCTTTGAGCCACGACACCATAGGATCCACCTAGGTGTCTTTCCCTATCGCTTAGTTTACCTACTTGAGCATTAAAGTCACCGGCCACTATTACTACATCCGAGCGCTTAGCTTTTCGGAGAAGGTCCGAAAGCTTTCTGTAAAACTCATCTTTTACATCATCTGAGCTGCAGTCAGTGGGAGAATAGGCAGAGACGACGAAGAGGCAACGACGAGTGTCCCTATCTTTCCGGATTCTTACTGTTCCGTTCAGTCGGACAGCGCACAAACGACTGTCTACTGGGATCCAGTCTAAGAGAGCTAGTTCTGCCCTAGGACTCAATGCTATACCTACGCCGGCGAGGCCACGGGAAGCAGAATCAGGGCTTCCAGATACACGAAGCGTAAATCGAGTCGGTTCTTTATCCTGGCATGGTGAGGTCAAATGAATGACGCTACTCGGATCCTGTATGCGCGTTTCGGAGATGCAGCACACATCGATGGCGCGAGCTTCTAAAGTTTTAGCTAAGGAAGCCTGCTGTCCTATTTGGCAAAGTGTTCGGACGTTAAAAGCTCCTACGTGTAGTTTAGAGCGTGGTTTCAGGAGACCAGGAATGGCGTTCCACGTACTCGAATCGTTTGCCCTAGCGGTGCGAGGTGATAAAGAGACGTGAGGAGGGTTAGTCGGGAGGATAAGAGAGGTATTAGGAGGTGTAGGAAGGATTTGAATGTGACCACCTTGGTCTCTTGTGCTGTTACGGGTAACCGCAGTCGGTGATCTATGGTCGGTTGATGTGATGGGACCGTTTCCACAGACGGCGAGCGGTAACCAGTATCTGTTAGTGATGACGGAACATGCCACACGTTGGGTAGATGCCGTACCCATTGCAGACCAGCGGGCAAGGACAGTGACCGAGGTGGTAATCCGGCATATTGTAGCGTGTCACGGAATACCGAAGATGATATTAACTGACCAGGGTCCCTGTTTTGAAAGTGACGAGTTTAAAGCCCGTTTAAAGCAGTTTGGCATCAAGAGAATACGAACTACACCATATCATCCTCAGACAAACGGGCTTACAGAGAGAAACAATCGGACGTTAAAGGAATGGTTAGCATCAAAAGGAGGAAATTGGGAGAAAGAGTTACCATTGATTTCGCTGGCACATCGTTCCTCAACACAAGGAACAACCAAGAAGTCACCTTTCTTGCTCATGTATGGCAGACAACCACGACTTCCAATGCATAATAAGACCTGGCCACAACAACAGAAGTGGACGACAACAAGGTTAAGAAAAGAGAGGAGAGAGGCAATAAGGAACATGGAAAAGAAACAAATATCAGACAAAAAGAAGGCAGAACAACAGAGGAGAACGTGGAAACCCTTTGCAGTGGGGGACCTAGTGAAGTGTAGAGAACGAAAAAGTAACATAGCAGGGGGAGCAGGGTCGGGGAAGCTGGCCCCAAAGTGGGAAGGACCGTATGTTATCACGGGGAGACGCGGCTCGGTTTACACGATCCGGAGAGAAGACAAGCAGAAGCGCGTAAATGCTAGTCAGCTACAGAGATGGTTTCAAGATCATCATGGGTGTGAATCACGAAAAGCACCAAAGAACACAGCGGTACGGAGATCAGAAAGACTACGACAGCAACTTGTTAAAAGGGGGGACGAGTGTGGTGCGTGCTACTTATATTGATATAAGTAGTATATAACGTGAGTCAAAAGAACGTAATGGCTGGCAGCAGAAGATGGAGAAGATCAAGAAAAGAAGAGCGAGGAAACAATGGAATTTGTAAGAAATCGCATGAGCAATGAAATGCGAGACAATGGATTGATGTTTGCAACAGCAACAGCCCGGTTTGATATGATAGAATGATATTTTGCAAATTAACGATTTACTATATGGTTTTTCTATTTTACCAAGTAATTCTGTAATTTGTCCTAAATACAATTTGGCTGTCCTCACCCGTGTTCTTCTTCACTACACCTTATGAAATAAGTAAGCTAATATTTAAAAATTAAGTAAAATTTTGGACAGTATGTCTACACGAACTAGGCAGATTGTCCATATTTTCACGATTATTAATCGAATATATTAGACAACTATGATTATTAAAACCTAATTCAGCAATAAAACAGAAGTTCCATAAATATCAACTACTGTTGTTTAACAACTCAGTAGTTAGATAGTATTGTGTTCATTTCGAGATTCAAAGGTTCTACGTTCAAACTCCAGAGGGTCGTGCTTGTACATAGTGTTGAGAAATTAGAAGACAATATAAAACAGCCTATTACCTCTTCGTGGAGTTCAATGGTTCACTGAGTACAAACTACCTTACGCAAAAAGTCATCGTCTAGGAACACCGGCTTTGGTGGTTCAGGCATGGCGTTATGAATATTATCTCAGAGGCTTTCATAAAGTGTATTATTTACCGACACTGAGAAGTGGATAAGAAAGCTGTTAATCAGATAATGACATGGCACCGTATTATAAAAGGAAGCTGTATAGAAGTGACTTTTCTAGGTCAATCATCATTTATTGAGTGAAGTTCTAGAGATGGTGCAGCTCAATGGAATGATAAGTTGTCAGTCACGACTCAGAATAAAAATCAATGGCGATCTAATCGTTGTTTTCTTTTACTTCCTTTATAAGAGTTAGAGAGATTCTTTTCACTGGAAGTGGTCTTTCTCGGTTATATTTTTGAATGAACTGTATCTTCTATTATACAATGTTCTTTTTTATGTATTATCATGTTTTTCTCTTCGACAAACAATCGCATATTGCTAGACATTAATTAGAACAGATTTTTTACTCCAGAAAACAAGTGGAAATTCAGACAACAAACTAACTTATATTTTAATTATATATTTGATAGCGTGTCGGATGAGACTCAAGGTTCGAATTAGATTTTTGTTGGATGGGCTTACATCTTTCTATGTTTAATTGTTAATTTCTAAGATTTAATTGATTGTACATAACCATAATATTTAAACATTTTTACATAAGTACTTATTCAGTGGTTGATAGCAGTCAACAAGAAGCCCTCCTCCGGATAAGTTTCATTTTTTTGACATAGGTCAGCAAGGCATACCTAGGATCTTGAGAAAACTGATACTCTCTGTTGGATCTATACCTGCGTTACGCTGCTTTACAGTGTGAGAAATTACCACCATTGAGATTTTCAGACTGAGATTGATCTGTTATATATATATATATAAAGAAAAGAACAAAACTAACCGTTTTATATGGAAGACATAAATCTTGAGCAAGCGATTTCATAGTTTCTGTTGATAAAGGTAATTGATGCTCACTACAAGCTGATATTAATGCATCCTGTTGTGATTGACTAATATTACAAAGACGACGACGAAGACTACGACTACTACCACTACTGATAACTTGATGTCGTTTACATTTTGACAGATTATTATTAGATTTTTTCTTTGAATTTGTTAATAATTTTGATTTAATTTGATTTTGTCTGCAAGAATTAGAGTTTGATGCCAACAGCATAACAGTTGTTGCTGCTTTAGCTATATCAAATAAACTTTGACGTTCATATTCATTTAAATGATCAATTGGTGCAATTTGTGATGAATTATTAATTGTGGTACTTTTTATTTTATTATTATTATTATTAGGTGACAATATGATTTGTGACTTATCAATTTTTAACAATTTACTATTTTTATTAGAAATCGGTGAATTAATTAAACTATCTTGATTGCATAATGATGACGACGGTGATGATGACAATGAAGGTGTACGTTTACGAGATGCTGTTGTGGTTGTTGTTGTCGTTATTGCTATTGACGATGATGAATGTTGCCTACTTCTTAAATCGGAAGAAGTTACTATATCTGATGATTCCGGTTTAATCGATGGTAAATATTCACAGGATAAATCAGATATTTGTTGTTGCTGCTGTTGTATAGTTGACGTTTCATGACCTTGAATTATTTTAACATTACTATTAGGACGTGAAAACGCTAGATAAATAATAACAACAAATATTTTAAAAAGATATAAAGCTGAAAAGTTTGAATAATAAAAGATTATATTTCTGAATCTTCCCGTTATCGATGTAACGGACTGAATGTTGAACAATATCTTTTGACAAATATGCATCCTGAGTGGAATGCCTCGACATTTCCACTAAAACCATAAACATTTCGTTATAGGGAAACTGGATAGTAGCTAGTAATGGAAATTAAGACCCACGTCACGTTCCATCCGGGGCTCTTCAGCTCAATGTAGTTGCAGTTCAGTGTTGGTGTTCATTCCCGGACTCGAACCTAAAACCTTACGCCACTAACCATTTTCAATTAAAAGAGCTTATTTTATTCATCGATTCAAATACTGCCCCACCTGGCCAACTTTTAAACAATATATGTTACCAGGTCTCAATGTGCACAATGATAATGTGATTATTGTTGTTAGTTTTCGACGTATCGTAAATAAACGAAAACAATGTTGTTAAGACCTAATAACGTGGGTATATAGGGTAAATCACTTGACTTGATTTATGTTCATATCAGAAAGTCCTATCAATATAAATTATTGATTAATTGATAATCCATAAAACAGTATATATAGGTGACCAGATCATGTTTATTGGAAAAACAGATTAGCGATAATAACGAAGAAAGCAAGTTTATTATATACTGTGAATAAGAAATCAGTATATATATATATATCGAGTTGGTTTTGGTATTTAACATACGAATAAATTGGAAAAAATCTGAGCTGATTAGGTCAATCAGGTATGAGCAACGTACGAACAAGCACCTACGAACGAACACTAGTAACTCACAAATGTCTACTTTTAAAGGTTTTTTTTCACAGCCATAATGTAAAACTGAATGAACTTTTGCACAGAATACTCGTCCTTTGTCTAGTAAATAGATATCTTACTTGCACTAGAGATAACTAACCAGAAGCAAACATTACGTAATTTAAGTGAAACTTGAACAAGTTAGCAATTATCCAAACGATGAGCTACAACTATCTTATATCAAGGCTACTAACACTCGATATATCTGGCTTTTTTAAATCATGATAGGTGATGCAAAATAAAATAATTGAAATTCTAAAAGCATACACATAGTGACCCACGAATACAAGAAATGAATGAACGTTCTGAGCAGTCTTGTCTACTTTTCAACACAACAGTTTAGTTTCATCTCTATTTAAAATAATTATTACAACACTACATATAAACAAAAGTGTAAGGAAATTTACTTTTGATATTTGCTTGAGCAGCTTTCAACATTTCCAAATGATCTGGTTCTTGTAACCATAAATGTAAACGTACATATGGTATTCTTGCCTTATTTGATAAATGTGACCAAGGACGTGTTTTTGATAAAATATCACTAACAGATGCTTGACACATTCCCAATACAACATCACCGAATAATCGTTGTGGTATTGAATGGCGTTGTAAAAGCTGATATATAATGAATTAGAGATAGAAGGAAAGAACAAATGATAAATGAATCCCCCTCTCTAGATTAAAAAACGAACCATAGTAATAACAATAACGGAATACATATTCATAAGAAAAATATTTTATTTTCTTGCAATAGACTCTAGACGAAATGTATTGTGTAAAAAATGAAATAAAAGACACCACTAAAATGTCGAAATTAACCAATTACCACTTTGACGTATTAAGCGTTTAGCGACTGAATAAGAAGTTTGTGGGTGTCCTTAACAGTTTCTCGGAAAATCCTCTAAACGCTAGAAGAATATTTTGGGAGATCGTCTTTGGAAGCTTTCAAGAGAAATTTAAAAAACGGCTGACTATTATTCCTTTGGCCCGATTGGACGACTAGCGAATTCGTTATATCGTATTCCACAGAAGTTTCTAGAAACTCAAGGTTACGCATGGTTCTATAAATACGCCCGTGTTCACATGTAGTTTAGTCTTTTAAGACATCTATACTTACCGCTCTCTGAGAGATTTATGAGGACTAGGAAATGGTTAGCTCAGAGTTTAAGTACAAGACTTAACGGAGCTGACTGGAAACGCCACTCTAAGACATGAAATTATTAAAAACAAGTCAATCATGTGAAGCAAATGTATGAACAACAAAAGATTGGGTCATAATCACCATTCATAGTTGTAGGTGAAAGATCAATTAAGAATAAAAAAGCTTATACATAAAAAGATAACATTAAAGTCCGAGAAACTCAAAGACATGAGACTTTAGCAGTATGATTCGATTTATCATATCATGTAACTGTAAATTGTAGCATATCGAAACACGGGCAGATTGAATTCATGAGTAAAGAAAATTCTAATCGGCATGAATTAAAGTTAATCACAAACATGCGGATCATTTCATTCTTTATCCGCTAAGTTCTAAACATCCTGTAACCAAATATCTAACTGTTTACTAAATAATGATCTCGTTAGTGGCATATATCTGCTTCCACTTTGTTACCTATAGAGGTGTTGTGTATTTGTGAGTTAGTCAAGTTGCTCCACAATCCACCAGCAACTTATTCTGTCAATATGGAATATAATTGGTTATTGTCCATATTGTGTTGTCATTGTTTGCACGTTGATAGTTATTATCTCTTCCCTTGACCTGAACTCTGACCTTGTAGTTGTTTGCTATTTTTCTTATTGGCCGAACTATCAGGTCTATTTCAATGCGTCGATTGATCGATGAGTGACCTTGGTGCTGTCTTCTATGGTTTTGTTTGTGTTTTCTCTGTCTATAATTGTCCATAATTATTGATATAAGTGAGGATATATCATGCTATTTAACAGCTAGCTAGTGTTCATTTAGACAGAGAGGGTGGGCAGTTTGTATGATATAGTGTTGTTTGCAGTTATTATAACTTATCTTGTGGATGATAATTAGCTTGTCATTTGTCACTGTGTTCTCAGCTTCGTATGATTATTTATTTATTTATTTTAACACACAGATATTGGTACAAGGAGGCACCAAATACATATGCGCCACACAAATCCCATTTGATATGTTTGGGGGCTGTGATACTGACCCGGTGCCCAAACCGAAGCATTTAGAGGACTATACTTATTCGTAGCAGCCTTAATAAACTATTTCCTTCCATCGTTTAGAACAAGATTATTTGCTTTTTGGTATTTCCTGTTGATTGTGTAATTGATGGCTCATTGGCTAAGCAATTTTTGATATTTTCGGAAGCCACTTTTCTGAAATACATTCATAGGGCGTAATCTTTTCAGTTTCTCTGTGTAATGACAGGATTACAGTGTGCCTACACTCCATCAATCACCGTTTATACACAATGGGTTGTTGGTTTTATATTGATGATATAATCATCATTGGATTCGCGGTTCTGATTTATTCGAAACTCAAGTTTTTCTATAAGGATTCTGGTGATCGATATATGAACGGATGGTAGTTTATTGTTCGATTCTGTAGTTATTATGAATTTTATGCTGTCAAATATGATGGTGATCAAATTATAAGTACTTTCCAGTCAGTCCATTTTTCGTAAGGGTGGTGTGGTGTCGTGGTTGGATGGTAATATTATTGTATTATATTGTAAAAATCATGAATAAGGATGGCACAACAGCTCGTTCGATTTCATGTTGCTTCTTTTTTGAACACGAGATAAGTAAGACATATATCTTATAGTCCTAATCTAATTATGTTACTGATTTTCTTCCAGCTTTAATCATAATCAGATAAGACGATGCGATTTTCTTTAGACGAGGTTATCAGGATAACTTAACAGTTAATTAATTAGCTTAGATTTATACGAAATGCGTACTTCAGACATCAAATTCAGTAATCTTCTGTTCCTCTTTTAAAATGAGAACCTAATCTATGGAAAGAAGACACAGGGAGTTATAACAATGCACAGACATGAGCAACATCACACAACTTGACAACCAAACACTAAACGTTGCAGAACCACTATATATATTTGCAAGTTCATGATGACTTTCATAGATGAGCTAAAGTTTAAATTCATGACAACCTGACCAAAAGTCAATATGTTTGAACCAGTTCAATGAATTGAACCACTACAGAAGATTTGAAATAAAATTTAACCTATGAAAATGCTTATGATGAAGATTTGACGAATAAACTAAAATATTTCAATTTGGAAATGATCGATTATAAAATGAACCAATCAATATGATCAATAAAAGCATTTCTAATTACATCAATATTTATAATCAGATAAAAATTATTAATCAGGGGTAGTTGTTCAAACTATTTATTGGTCAGCTAATATATGTAAATTGATAAAGATAGTATAGTAATACTGAATGAATTAATCAATCATAAGTAAATAAGCACATATGTGAAATTGGTTCAAGCTACCGAAACACCATATCAGTCAAGTTGAATGAAATGATAGAGTATTAGAAGTAGTAACAGTATCAATTACAGTAGAAAATCATATTGCATATGGATACTAGGATTCGAGAAGAAAGAATAAATTTACGACGTAAAAAAGATGAGATAACTTTAAAACACAAGATCTAAGGGAAAGCAAAGTGTGAATGCAATTGTGCAATACCAACCGATTTTGAGCCATACCAATCAGTCTCCAACTATTATTTACGACAATCACATGGACCCCAACCGGGTAGACTGTACTTACCTGTATTCAACCGTCAATGATTTCATGGATTGATATTTTTTAAATGACTGCCCTTGAGCTTTGTCTCAATTTACTCCTAAACTAGCAAACACTGTGCGTCAAAGTAAGCACTTGTTGAGAATCGAATGAATCAAACCATTTTTAAGTAAATGATAACTTAAGCATTCGATTAAACTATCTTACCATTTGTACAAAACAAGTGGGTTTGTGACAAGTTTTGGAACCCATAACGCGCGTTTCGTCTTATTCGGGACTGGTCAGCTGGGTATGCTTACACCGAAGCGTTAATATTCGCGCCCGTATTCTAATCTAATATATCGTTTGTCACATCCAACTAAGGAGTACGAAGTGGAATGAAAAATGTGTGTTAGGTTTCAATTCTAGTTACAAAGCCATCTATCTTTAACAACTCTTGACAATTTATATATGTCCCAACAAAGATTGATACACATTCCGTCAAAATTATTAATAACAGGATAATTCTAGTTCTTCCTAACAATGATATAAATATCTCACCTCTTTTATTTTGCCACACATAGATGTCGTATCCAGATCGGTTAAAGATGTTGCCAATTCCATGACTTTCTTCGATGAAGGTCTTTGATAAACGCTAGAATTTTGGTTAATATTATTATTATTATTTAGCGGCAACACAATTTCATTTTCATTAGAACATTCATTTTGTATAGAATTTGGTGTAGGTGAACCTGATGGACTTGTAATCGGTTCAAATAGTGAACAATCAATAGTTTGTCCAGAATACATCGCTTGTGAATCATATAATGAAGGATTCAATATCGATAGTGCATTTCCAAATGTTGTTGTTGATGATGGTGGTGGTACTGTCTGATCAATACACTGCTGTTGCATAGATATATTTGAACTAATGTTTATATCAGATTGGTGGTTTGAGTGGATAATTCCACTTTGACAAGAACCTGTAAATATAAGTAAATAAGGGGAGAAATGAAACGCGGTTGAACAAGGATACATATAAACATTTGTGCACGACGTCTTAAATGCAATTTTCATTTGACAAGAAAGATGAAATGAACAATCATATGAAGAAGAAAAACAAATAACCTAAACTAAACAAATCAATATATACATTCGTAGATTTGATGATAATGATAACCATTATCGATCGTCGATTGACTGACTCATTTGTTATATCTGGTAGCTGAACGTTTAATAATGACTTCCTAACTGCTTCCTAGTTGCCTAGAATACTATAAAACTTGAGCATCGAATGAGAGAAAGAATAAACTTTATTTCAAGATTGGTTCAAGTACAGAAAACACGGATAGTTATAGGTTTATGTATGGCTTTGACAAGCTCGAAGCTTCTGAAAACACATTAAATTTCGTAACAAAATAGGTAATTAGTCAGTGTCATAAATGATCCGTCGTTTTTCTAGGAGTTTCTATCGGGTACAGATTGGATATGAAATTTCTGAGGGATCCCAACATCATTTCCTTTCACAATATATTACTAATGGGTAGAACACTGAGAGAAAATAAAATTGACATTTTGATAGTGTGTGAAGTATTACTATTTCTGGGACGCAGAAAAGCTAAAAGAATTTGGACTGTTCTGTCATTTATCAAGGAAGGGGTTAATGGCTCCCGAAATCACGGTACGGATATGATAAGATCATTTGATTTATGCAAAATTTTGGCCTATGTGATTCAAGAAAGACTTTAGTTCGCCTAACAAATGATGAATGTATTCAGTAAAAAGCTAGATCCGGCCAAACCAAAATGTGGCGCAAATCCATGAAGTCACTGACAAGTGAACTGAGTCATGTTGGTAGGTGTAGACTACATGGTTGGGATCCACGAGATGATAGCAACCTTGAATGACATGACTCAAAATCATTTGAAATGGGGCAAGTGCATCCACTCTTTGTGTTCTCCCAAATTCTAATCTTCTGAAATCTTTGTGCCCCTTTTTTTCTCTTTCTAGATTTATTTCACTGGATTATATTCCTTGAATAACATCTTCAAAACCTAATCTTTCCCATCACTGCTTGTACTTTTACCCCCTCTACCACTACGGGATTTGAATCGACAAATGCATCTAAGTGCTCCCAAAGAATTGTTAGCACATAGCGAAGACATCATTTGAGTAGCGGCCAGGTTTCAACTAGAAATGGGAAGTTGATTGCTGATCTTTAAACCAAAATAAATTGAGTTTACAAATTAGAAATTCCAAGCACAACTTGAGGTAGTCAATTTCTCAGGAGAATTATTGAGTTCATTGTTAAATACGATTTATGTTGAAATTGAGATTAAATGTAATGAGGATGATCGTGGAAACAAAATGAACCAGTTGGGGGTTGAAAATTTAAGGGGAAGATGGGGGGGGGTGAAGCAGATGGCTGTAAAGGAAGAAAGAGAAGAGAATGAAGAAAGAGGAAAACAAAAAAATTATCAGACATCAGGACCATGTTAGAAAAAGGGGTTGTACCAGTCGTTTGTGCACACACAATTCTGGTTTTTAGTGTGTTATAATTAACTGTGATGCGACAATAAATCCTAGAACTTTTTATCTTAAATTCAGTTTTGAAGGGGGAAAGCATTAAAAGCTAGAATGACATAAATCTGCATTATAGTTCATTATGTTTTGAGTAAGTAATATCCTAAATTCAGTGTATCTAATAAAAAATCATTTCCATTTTTATCTAAACTTAAAACAAAACTTAAGTTTTTTTCAAAACTCGAAACAAACCCAATAAGGATGAATTAAGCATTTTTGGCTTATTAATTTAAAATTGTTATCACATGAACAGGGAAGTTCAGATTGAGCAATAGACCTTTTTTGGTTAGGAGAAACATTGGAATTCGATTGAATATATGTATTACTATTGCTACCATTACTACTACCAACAACAACTGTGGATTCACATACAATTATTGATCCATTGGAAAGTAATTTTTGAGTAGAAGAGTGTAAAGAAACAGAAGCTGGAATGAGCTTATTTTGGGTATTTTTTTTACAAGTGACAAGTTAAAAAATAACAGATGAACAAGAAATTAGCGGTGACAGTTTTGGTTAATTGAAATTAAAACTATCAATAATGAAAAAACATCATACCGTTACAATTACAATAACTCAGCACTAATTTAAGCTTGGTTATGATGTTTGAAGAGCGAAGAGAGTATTCGGATGTCAAATAAATTATATAGGTTCCTGCTGAGTTTTTTTCATCAACGTTGATAAATAGTGAAAAACATAGAAGGCAGGTTTGTTACTTCATGTTGATTACACTCTTTATTGTCGAATCAAATAAATGGGATTTTTTTATTTATTGAATAGAGTTTGAACATTATCTGGGTAATTCAGGTGGTAAATGATTGATGTAAAAAGCAAGAATTAATTTTTACAGATGTATAAGAAAATTACACTTCTATTCTACACTTGATTGTACTTTCAATGATATTTAGGTATATTTACTCTTTTTTTGTAACATGATCGCATAACTTAATATCGAAAAAGGATATTGGTTGCTAGTCACGTTTGTTGTTGTTTGGCATTAGATTATATCAACTAATATCGAGTTTCCATGAGCAATTATTACTGTAATATTTTACATTAATCCATACAATTAACTTCATGTCCACAGAGGAGTGGTTTAATTCTGTTTTTTTCTAATTACACTGTGGTGTGAGCAACTGATGTCGACAGATATAAGCAGTGTGTATCACCAATCGAAAGCGGAATGTTTGGTGGCAGAATGTTAAGAAAACCGATGAAAAGAGAACGAGAACAGAGAGTTTGGTATGCAAACAAACGAACAACAAATTTTGCAAATGAAGTATTCACCATGTAGTTCTCAGATTTTATTAAGAAATTCTGTGATTTTGTATCTAAATGCATTTCGTTGTCTCCGCCTGTGTTTTCGTTAACTACAATACTTTAATAAAAGCGCTAACATAGATAAAAGTAGCGCATACAGTCAGTAACAACACAGAACTTCATACGTAGATACATCAGTTCGAGTTGCCATACCACGTTAGCACAGAGATGCAGTTGTCGATTCAAATCCCGTAGTGAGAGTATAAACAGTAATCAGAAACATTAAGGTTTGAAGATGTTATTCAAGGAGTATAATCCAGTGAAATAAATTTGGAAAGAGAAAATAAGAAAGGGACATGAAGAATTCAGAAGATTAGAATTTGAGAGAACACAAAAAGTGGATGCACCTGCGCCATTGCAAACGATTTTGAGCCATGTCATTCAGGGTCTCTAACCATCAGTTGCTATCACCTCTCGGTCCCCAATCATGTAGTCTACACCTACCAACATGACTCAGTTCACTTGTCAGTGACTCATGAACTTGTGCCATGTTTTGGTCTGGCCGACCCCAGCTTTCTTCCAACCTACTCCTATACCATTGAACATCGCACATCGAGGCAGTCGGTGGTTGGGCATACGTAACACGTGTCCCAGCCATCTCAACTTCATCAGTTGATTTGCCATCCTTGCCTAGTACCCGTTTCCTAACAACTGTGTTACTTACTCGGTGCTCTCAGGATATACCAGTGATGCCTCTAAGACACCTATGGTCGGATATTAGTAGCCTACGAATATCATCTACTCTTACCGGCCATGTTTCACTGCCATAAAGTACGACGGAACGAACTGCTGCGCAGTAAACACGTCCTTTGGTTGATAGACGGATATCTCGCCTACACCGTAAATGACGCAAGTTGGCAAAAGCTAGTCGAGCCTTTTGTATCCGTGCTGAGATTTCGTCACACACCAGACCACAAGGGCTAATGAGACTTCCAATATGAGTGAAGCGGTCGATACACCCAACTACTTCACTCCCTATCATTAGTTCGGGTGTCGTTGCAACCCAATCCTGAAGCAACATTTTGCATTTCGAGGGGGAGAATCGCATCCCGAACATGCTTCCATTGTTGCTTAGAGTGGTCAGAAGACTCTGCATTTTGTCAGCGTCTTCACCAAATAGAACTATGTCATCGGCATATTCTAAGTCAAAAAGTGAATCTCGCGGTAGAAGTTCAACCCCTGGAAATTTAGATGAGGAAAGTGCCATCTCTAAAAGCACGTCTACGATAAAGTTAAACAAGAATGGAGAGAGTGGACAGCCCTGACGAACACCACTCGAGGTAATCAATTCTGATGACAGTTCGCCATAAGCTCTCACTTGACCGGTTGTGTTGGAGTAGAGAGCATTTACAAGGTTAATGTACTTCTTTGGTACTCCTTTCAGTGACAAACTCTGCCATAGGATCTCACGATCAACAGATTCAAATGCCGCCTTAAGGTCGAGAAATACTACGATTGTGGGGCGTCTGAGTAGCTCTTACACAACTGTACTTGATTGAAATAAATTAATTCAGAATCTTATTTAGTTCTACTGTTTTCTTTTTGAGTTAATAATGTAGAATGAACATCTAATGTGTATTTCTAGCATTTAGGGTTTGTGGACACTTTTTGAAGAAAGATTTTAACAATCTATTAGACCTAAATACGATGATATTGTAAGTACGGAGTTATTATCCGGTTGACAAATTCGTGTACTCAGCCTCGAGACACATTTTAAAAGATAAGGTCTAGTGATATTACCCTATTCCCTCATACCAAGTTAGAGAAATGGGATTTAGACAAGCGACCTAGAGGCTGAAAGTCGAGTGCCCTAATCACTGAATCACATTCCAAACACCAAGCTACGTATCATGTTTAACATGTGAAGATGCAAACAATAACAACAGTGCTTCCACTATGAAATAGACAATCTGATAAATACAGTTTTGTGATTAAACTACAAACAAAATCATAATGGAAAAAACATATCAAAATCATTTCTAATACATTAATCAACGACTAAAATACGACTGATATCACACACATGAACCAATAAACAGAATCAATTAACATTGTACAGTATATTTATCTCTTTTTTTAAAACTCTGATCACATTTACCAATTGTCAGAAAAATGAACTAAAATCAATATCAAAGAGTCACATTAATACTAGTACTTATAATACTACTAACAATAATCAATACGCAGAATCTACTAATATCACCATTATTATTATTATTATTATTATTATTATTATTATTATTATTATTATTATTATTATTAGTAGTAGTAGTAGTAGTAGTAGTAGTAGTAGTAGTAGTAGTAGTAGTAGTAGTAGTAGTAGTAGCTGTAGTAGTATGATCATATCTGAGTATTAGCTAACAGACTGGGGTAAACGATAAATTCATACTAGTTATCCTAGTATGAATATTATCCAATGAAATAGTATTTTACCATCATTTACTTATCTATTCGTTAAAAATAATACTAATTTCACAGATCGAACATATATTAGTGTATTGCAGAGAATGGAATCTGACCCGTGTTACGAATAGATCCAGACTATAAATATTTTATACTGTTAACCAAAGACAAAGAGTGAATCCACTTTGTGTGATTGAGAACCATTGTGATCCGTGTCACTCAAAGTCTTTAACCATCAGTTGCGATAATCACTTGCAACTCACCCAGGCAGTCTGCACTTGTTAGTATGGTTTAGTGCCATTTCCAATGACTTCATGAACTGATATTATATCTTTATTTGGCCGCTTCTAGAGTTCTTTCGACCTACTCCTACATCATGAATCACCGAGCATCCGGGTAGGCGGTGGTTGGGGATACGTAATAAATGTCACAACCACCTCAGTACATGGAGATCCACTATCTCCGTCATCATGACTGATGAGACATTCAAGATGAGTGAAGCGGTCGATACGCTCAACTACTCGACTCCCCACAATTAATTCACACGCTGATGCATTCCGGTCCTGAAGCAACATTTAGCGTTTGAAAGGAGGAATGAATTTTTTTTTCTGTTTTATCAAGTGAAGTGGTTTTTTGTAGATTTTAGTAATCTGCTTTTTCCAAAGAGCAATAGGAAATGACGATTTTCAATGATTCACCAATTGACTGCGTTATCAGTCCATAATACCATTTACTTGCAAAATTTTAAGATGACTATCTGACATAGTTTTGTGGTAATAATAGTAGCTTTCTAAATGTAAATATTTAAATACCATAACAGTATAGGATAAGAGAAAAAGGAGGGAAAGAGCTATATACACATATAAGAACTTACATGATTGTAACAATTTTATTATATGGTCGGGATTATTTAAAAATAGCTGCATTCTTATAAATGGTTCACGACCTTTTTGTGTAAGTAATTTCCACGGTTTCGGTCTGGCCAATAGATCAGAAACACTTCCTTGAGATAAACCTTGATGTAAGAGCAAGAAGTATGAAAGTATTATTAACACTTAAGCTAGGCCAAAATTAGGACATAAAGGTTCAGTACAATTTAATAGAGGTACATTAAAAATTTTTTAATGACAATATGACTAAATAATTTTTTTAGTATGTAGATCATTTACCAAATGCAGGTTTATGACATTAGCTTTGAGAGACATTGTTTTTATGAAGGTGAATCGGAGAATAAATAGAGGATATTCAATTTGAGATCTATTAAATGAAAGGCGAATAATTTAACTATTAAGCCACTGTTTCATTTCTGCAAATTTGTTGTTAAGATGGAGTTTGAAGGTATTGTGAGCTCTAAGTCGGATGATTTAATAGTAAAGCTTTAAATTTCTATCTAAACAAGACTATCTACACATATTTCACAAAGTGGTCAGTTAGTAAAATTGCTCTATAATTCATCAGCAACTTATTCTGTTAACATGAAATATGATCGCTTATTGTATATATTGTTTTGTAATTGTTTGCACGTTGATAGTCATGATCTCTTCCACTGATCTGAACTTTGATATTGCATTTGTTTGTCATTTTTCGTATTGTCTGTTGATCGACGAGTGACCTTAGTGTAACGCCACATAAATTCTCTAATCTTTCTCATATTTTATCCATCTAAGTGTTCCATATTCCCCAGCCGCGTTTGCAACACACTAGGTACAAATTCGTGCACTTTGTTTTGAATCAAGTGTGAGGAATCGTGGTACTGCCTGGTTGCCAAAAACGAAGTAGGTGGACCAGGTTTTACACCCTGAACCTAGTGACTGAAAATTGAATAAATTAACCACTAAGGGATCGCTCCTAGTCGAATTCATGTACATAATTGTCCGCATTCATTGATATAAGTGAGGATATGTCACGGCGTTCAACAGAAAGCTGGTGTCGATGTAGACGCAGACGGAAAGGATGGAAAGTTTATATGACGCAGTGTTTGCCGCGGTTATAGCAATTTATCTTGTGAACGTCATTTGTCTTGCATAATACTGACTGTAAAGACTTTGTGCGTTTACAACTTGAACAGCGTCACTGATTATATGAAATCCATATTACAAATGGAACCAAACAACAAATTATCGTTATTAGTTGAGCTGATTACCAGAAACAAATCCAGGAAACCAAATAAATTTGAAGCCAATTGATACTAATCAGACAGTTATTTACGACTATTTATTTGAAAACATAAATATTGATACAAAGGGGAACCGAATACATATGTGCCACACCAATCACTTGGTTGGTGTGTGGGCTGTGATACTGCCCGGGTGCCCAAACCGAAGCAGGTGGTTTTACTAGGCAGCCGCACTCGGAGCCTTTGACCTGAAGGTCTGATCTATAAGGCAGTGGATCAACGTCAGGAAATACAGTCCCATGGCAGCCGGTGACTAGCAATAGGTTCATACGCCATTTGTTTCCTTAGGATCCTGGAGACCATGTGAACCATTGCTTTGGAATCAGGTTTTCCAACTCCCCTAGGTGGACCCTCCATTTTCACCAATTCGGACATCCGCTTTTTGTCCTCTTAATTTAGTAAACAACACCCCCGTCACGAGAAGGCAGTGAGTAGGACTTCCCTGGCAGTGGCTGTATACGCGTTGCCATGTGAGAGTATTTCGAGAGGGAGAGCTGACTCTCCCCACCTTTGGTCGGATCAGGGCATTTGGGGGTCAATTTGCCGCAACTTATTAGCACAACAAGGTGAACACCGAATCCACAGAAGCAGATACTTCAATGGTAGTAAAAAACGACATTTCATATAAAGATATGATACAGGAAGAAAGATATAAAGCAATTTTAGTCTCACAGTTTAAGGGAAGACGAAGAGTGTATACATATACACTATTGTGATCGATTCTGAGCTATGACACCCGGAGTCTCCAAGCATTGGTTACGATAGTGAATAAGCTCAATAATATTATGACTATACAGAACGATAACAAACTGTTTTGAGATATGTTCTGCTTTGAAGGACTATGAACCTAATATCGAAGATAATAACTAAAATACCATACAAAATGTACACCTTGAATGGATTTTTTTAAAACATAAACTGACTGTTGTGAACTGGTAATCACATATAGAGATCATATAACATTGGTATAATGATTCCTGGGTTTTGATGGCATGTGGATTCAGGTATGCTTACTATTGAGTACTAACCAAATAATGACGAAACAATTGTCGAGTATATTTCATTAGTTTTTAATGGTTGTTCAACTGTCAGCAGTTTCTAATAAAAACTAAAACTATGCATTATCTTAGTGCACAGTATGTTTTCACCATAATCCAATTTTTATAAATGTTTACTCATCAGTCAGTCATAAGCAACATGAAATCAGGCACGTATGCGTAACGATTCAAGTTGGTGCATCACATTAGTATTGACAAAGTCAGTCAGCTACAACGTAGGACCAGGCACGTATGTGCATCGGTCCAGGTTGCCATACCGCATCAGCACAACAAGATCAACACCGGATTCATAGCAGTGGTTAGGTCAAAGGTGGTAATATATAAGAGAAAGATTGCATATAGAGATATAGTACAAGAAGAAAAAATTGGTTCGTAGAAAGAAAGGTATGAAGCGATTTTAATCTCTTAGTTTAAGGGAAGACAGGGAGTGTATACACCGACGCCATTGTGATCGATTCTGAGCCATGTCACCAAGAGTCTCCAACCATTGGTTACAATAGTCACACGGACCCCAACCAAGTAGTCTGCATCTACCAACATGGCTCAGACTAGAAGTTAGTGACTTCAAGCACTGATGCCACGTTTTGGTTTGGCCGCCCCTAACTTTCTTCCAACCATCTCCAATACCGGATAGCATTGCACGTCGTGGTAATCGGTGTCCAGGCATACGTAACACGTGGCCCAACCATCTCAGTCGATGAAGATCCATAACCTCATCAACTGATTTACCATCATTTCCTAATACCCTGCGTCTAACCTCACTATTATTTACCCGGTGATCCCAGCAGACGCCAGCAATATTTCTAAGGCATATGTGGTCAAATACTAAGAGCTTATGAGTGTCTTCTACTCTTAATGGCCATGTTTCGCTGCCGTAAATTAAAACAGAACGGACTGCCGCGCAGTATACTTGTCCTTTTATTGATAGACGGATATCTCGCCTTCGCCACGGGTGACGTAAGTTGGCAAAAGTCAAACGAGCTTTTCGAATCCGTGTTGAGATTTCGTCCGATACCAACCCATTAGGGCTGATCAGACTTCCAAGATAAGTGAAGTTGTCAACGCGTTCGACCACTTCACTCCCTATCCTTAGTTCAGGTGTTGACGCAGACCAGTCTTGAAGCAACAACTTGCATTTAGAGGGAGAGAAGCGCATTCCAAACATTTTGGCATTGTTGCTCAGTGCTACCAGAAGACTCTGCATTTTGTCAGCGTCTTCACCAAACAGGACTATGTCATCTGCGTATTCTAAGTCGATAAGTGGACCTCCTGGATGGAGATCAATACCCGAGAACTCAGTCGACGAGAAAGTTATTTCCATCAGTAGATCTATGATGAAGTTAAACAAAAATGGGGAAAGTGGACAGCCTTGACGGACACCACTTGAGGTTGCAAAAGTAGATGACAGTTCGCCATAAGCTCTGACTCGACTAGTAGTGTTCACAAAGTACTATAGTAATAACAGTACCAGTGCTTGTAGATATTGGATAGAGACAATGAAGTTCAAGAATTCGCATAACAAAAAAGTACAAAATAATTTAAAAAATCAATAAATAAGAGAAGAAAAAGAGTGGACACATCTGGGCTATTATAGCAACGGATTTTGAGTCGTCATTCAACACAATCAATCATTGGGTACGAAAATCGCGCGGACCTCAAGCGGTCAAATCGCAACCTACCTACACCGCTTAGTTCAAATTCAGTGACTTTATAGAGCGATGGCACGTCTTGGCTTGGTCTATCCCTATTTTTCTTTCAACTTACTACCGCTCTAGCAGATATCACGCATGGAGTTAGGAGGTTATTGGGCATACGACATACACGTCCAGACCACCCTCAGTCGATGAGGATTCACTAACTCATCAACCGATTTACCATCTTAACATTTGTTTACCGAAAATTATATATATATATATATATATATATATATATATATATATATAATGAATAAGAAACATTTGGATAAAAAATTTTAAATAAAAAATAACTTACCAAGTATATATGCACCAAAAAGTCTTTGACTAATAGAATACTGAGAAAGAATTGAGCGAGTACGATGAGTTATCTCTTCAGTAGATAATTCACTGTACTTATCAATATCTTCTTGTTTCAAAGGAGGAAGTACCACTCTTTGAAGTGAAAGCATCGTGTTATTGATATAACTTGAATCAGATAAATTATCATCAGCTGTTTCATAGGGATTATGATGGTGAACTGTATCATTATTAGTTAACAATGGAACAGTAGTGGTCGTAGTATTAGTAGTAATAGTAGCCGGAGCATTTATAGTTGCAGTGTTTGAATCTTCATGATTCCATTGATTCACATTAATATGCTCTGAATTCGCTAATGTTGATGGAGTTTTCAACGGAACACTAGCCGTTGCTGCTGACGCCAAAAGCATTAAAGTTTGTTGTAAGGACATGGGTGATGACGACAGAGAAGTAGAAGTAGAATTAGATGTCTGTGAGAATAATGGTGTTGATACAGGTTGAATACCTAAAGGTGGGATCGGTAGGTGATTATTTAATTTAATTATTGATGGAGATAATATAGGCATCGGAAATTCATTAGTTATGACTGGTGTTGTAGTAGTTATTGTTGTTCGAAGTGGTGTATATATCGGTGCACAATCATCTTGTTTAATAATAGTATTATTGATGGAATAAGGTGAAGAGATTGATGATGAGTTAGCCAATAATGGAAAATTACTATTGAATAGAATATTTTGATTATCATTGGTTACATTTTTTGAAGTATTTAAGGCACAAGGTAATGTGATGGTGGATTGTACTTTTGAAGGATATGGAGAATTATTATTATTATCAAGTGTTGAGTCGAATATGACTGGTTTATTTGAATTGATTGGATTATTCGTCAACTGAGTAGTAAATAGTTTTAACTAAAACAAAATAAAGATAAAAATAAAACTTGTCATAAGAGAAGAAAAATCCTGATGTTATCTATTTCTGTTTAACATAAAGACCATTGAAGTGAAAAGAATTAAGTGTACTGATGGGTGAAGAAATCCTGGGACAGATTTAAAACGCTTTCCTACTCTTCATGGATTTGTGCTACCTGTCATGCAGGGGGTGTAAGTTTTCCGATTAAAAAGCAGATATACTGTACAGCTATCTACTCTGTTTTACTTTATGGCCAGGAAACTTGGGCTTCGAAATAAAAAATCCACAGATTACTAGTACTGAGTTATAGATGACTTCGAATCATCGTTCATGACATAGTGGAACAAATGGATGATTAATACTGGGGTAAGGTCGGAAATCATTTGATAAAGATGGAAAGATTCATCGGTTGTCATGGATGAGATGTGTGTTACATATGTTAAATTAACGTCAACTCCTACATAACAGTAGCTCACATAAACAGTGGCATATGGACAGATCACTATATGATGGTATTGACTCATGAAGTCACTGATCACTGAACAAACTCGTATGTGCACGTAATTACTATGATCAGTAGGTGATGTTGGATGATATGGCTCAAAAAGAGTCGTGGTGTGGTAGATGTATTCAATCTCTCCATGGATCTTACATCTCAAAATCACTTCACACTTTTTTGATATATCAGAACGAAGATTAAAGAAGTGATAACTCCCAGAATTAAAATAGAGATTATTATTATTATTACTAATACATATTCTTATTGTATCATTACTAGGCAACTGAACTAATATATATAGGGTTTATCTTCTATTTAACGTATTAACTATTATCGTGCCATTTATTAGTCTTATTTTATTGCCAATCAATTATTCGCAGCTTTCCTTCACTTGCAAACACTTCTGGTTTGTTTATGTACAATTACGATTTGTCATTTTTTATGGTACAATGTGATATGGTATGTTTGTTTATATAAGCCCAGAATGTTTGAAATAAAATAGTAACAGAAGCTATCTGCTGACTTCTCTTCAAACTCGAGGCAACAGATAGAGGGGTACTGAATATGCTGAGACAAGTAGGAGTTTATCAAGCGTCAGGGTAGAGAATTATCAGAATTTTGATCGGCGACTAACACGTGATATAGATTAATGTCCCAAGTCACAACATATTTAATACTGGAGATCCATTCTCTCTCTTTGAGTTATGCTTTTACGACATTCAGTTTTGTAATCGAATACACTACTACTTAGACTCCTTCCACAAGAATTATGAAATAATTAGCCTTGTGGTAAGATAAAAGTACGTTAAAAGAAAACCACATGTATTAATAAACTCACAAGATCTGAAACTGTGATTCCATTTGACATAATTGGCATAGATTGCTGCGTAGCATGAACTACAGTATTATTAGAGCATACTGGTAATGATGACGTTACCAATTGACTAGGTGGCAATTTTGAACAGATTGTAATTTCATTTACAGATGGACAAGTTTGAAGGCTACCATAACATACAGTAGGAGTACATGATAAATTGTTGACATTATTAAAAGAATTATTGTGATTTGACACTGTAGAAGAATTTGAGCTAATATTTATTCCATGTCTTAATAAATTGTTAGGATATGGTGATAGGTGAGAAGATGAGGAATGATGATATACAGCATTGTTTTCATTGATCAATGAAGTGGCAACAGTTGATTCAAAAGAGTTGATAATACTTCCAGAAGTGGTAACAGTGGTATTATTATTATTATTATTATTATTATTATTGTTATTATTATTATTGGCAGTAGTAGTAGTAGCAGTAGTCTACGATAAATATGAATAACAAAATTAAGAATGATCGAAACAGGTTTATTTCATTAAAAGTCATAGAAACGGTAAACTATTAAAGGCAATCAATTAATAAGTGAAAACAATTCAAATGAAAACCAAACTAATTAACATATACAATATTTAACTGACATTTGAATGAATCAGAATGAACAAATATATACGACCCATTAAAATAGTTTAAGAAATCTAGCCAATTCAAAATTATATAAATTACTTAATAAATATTCAGCAAATGAAGTAGTATGTATAGAGTGAAGGTGTAAAAGATCTTATGCCTAGTTGAAAGAACCTATTGAGGGAGGACGATGTTGAACATAAAACGTACAATTCAACCTCAACTGGTTCGAATTATCTCGTTGTTGATATTTTGACTGAAATTTGATCAGTCTTGGCTAACATATGTGCATACTGTGCGGCTTGCCTCGATAGTCATTATGATACAAGTTCAGTCCGTCAGCTACAACGTAGGACCAGGCACATATATGGATCAGCTCAAGGTGCCACACCTCATTAATACAGCAAGACGAACACCGGATTCATAGAAGCAGTTAACTCAATGGTGGTAATATATCAAAGAAAGATTACCTAGTGGTGGGCAACGAAAGCAAAAGTGATGGAAAAGGTAGAGGCTGTATGTAACACCAGAAAGCTCTTCAGACCAATAAAAGAAACTGGAATTAATAAGTCAAGTGTAAGTAAGACTATTTCGGAAAAAGACGACACCCTCATCTGCTCTCAGCCCAGACGTTCAGAACGACGGGCGAAACACTTTAAGGAGCAGTTCAGCTACTCTATAACTACCCACCACTCCTAGACAGCATGAATGGAACATTGAAGTAGGTCCCCCGACTCAAGCTGAAGTTCAGAAAGCTATAGCTAATCTGAAACGGGAAAGAGCAGCTGGTCTAGATAAATTGGCTCCAAAGGTTTTTAAGTGTGGTGGTCCAATTTTGATATGAGTTAGTATAGAATAGATTAAATGTGGCTAGCTGTGTAACCCAGGATATATGTTTGGTCCCATTTGGGACTCATCAGCTGAATGTACCTGGATCCGAAAGTCAGTATTCACTCCAAGACTAGAAATAAGTGAAAATCGACTCTTGAATGCAGGCACATCCAGCCAACGAGTCCAAAATAGAATGAAAAGCGCTTTCTGAATTCCACTCCTAGCCATAATCCATCTATTCTGTATGAAACGTATAAATTAGGGACTACAAGTCTTTATGGCTTATGAACAGCGAAATGAAATACTATATATTTCTTATCAATAAAATGACAGACATCGTTGGATATATTTACATGATGATGAACAAACGAACCGCACAAAAGTGATATTAATACAGTGTTAATTTTGTATCAATAGCAGAATAAATTCTTTTCACAATAACACCAGTTTCTAGTAGAAATCTCAAGTTGATCAAGTGCGAAGACTCAACTCCAAAAGAATAGAATACAGAATTGCGGACTCATTAATTAAGCACCTGTAGCCGACATGTGTCAATGGTGTAACTTCTCACATTTATTTATTATTTCTCACAAAATGCCATCATTATGGTAAATCTAACAAGTTCGTAACCCGTTTAATTATAACGAACGCGCTGTATTTAAGGACAAAAGAACATAGTTCACAGTCAAAATAAAACTCACTTGTGAATCACCATCGCTAATACTAATAGCAGATACCGATGGACTGTTATCATTATAAATCCCGATTTGACAATCTGACAATGGAGATTGGTGCTGTTTCATTGTTGATGTACTGTCAAATAAATCGCTATTAATTTTCTCAGTTAATCCATTGGCTTTAATTTGTTTCTCATAATCCATTGCCGCTTTAGCAGCTAATAAAATTTGATTAATGCGTCTTTCAGTTTCTTGTTCTTCTTTAGATCCAATATTTTCATCTGGATGAACTGATTCGGAAGATTTCATCAAAGAGCGATGACTGTAATGTGTTTCTTTACTAGTTTGTTGTTGGTGGTGATGATGAGAATGATGAGAATCGTTAGACTTTTGAGTTTCTAGATCATATATAAGTTCTGTCTTTTCAGGTCGACTAGTTAAAACACTTAGCGGTTCAATATCATTACGATAGACAAATGGAGAGATTGATTTAGATTTTGTTAGGGAAAAATCCTTTTGACAAGGTGTTGGTACAGGATTTGAGTTAGGAAATAACAGAGATTGTTGATTATTTAAACTAGTAATTTCGCATGTAGATTGAGTAGTCTCTACAGTTGTATTGGTAAAACAAGAAAATGCAATAACACAAATAGCGACATAACAATAATTATGAAGGAAATGTTATAAGTGTGCAGAAAAAAAACAGATAATGAGTCTTTTGTAGCAAATAAGCATAAATATAAAGTTGAAACTAATAAACGTGTATTAAACTCTGTTTTGTCAATATATCAAATGAGTTATTACGAATCCAGGTCAGTGGTAATTATACAGTAGTGAGCAAGTATCACAAGCTTTCATATAAAGAATACGATTCATGAAACTTGAAGGAGCCTTCTTAAAACATAACACACTTTTACGCTATTGATTCACATAACAGCAGAAATGATCTTATCTGTTGTTAAAAATGCGTGAATGGTTGTCAATTCCCGGTTGCCCATACTATGGAAGGATACTTTTTGATGTATCTGAAAAGAGGACTCGGTTAGGAGTAATTTCGACAACCTGAGAGTATGATATCAGTGCCTAAATAACAGCTGCTTGAGGTTTGTCATATATGGCGTTTTCGTGAGTAGTTTTAGATATGTCAACTCTGTACTTTCAAGGCCTTATCGATGGTAACGAAAATCTGTGAAACAAGGTGAAGTGTGTTATCTCTAGGGTCGATTCCTCTTGTTTTGAGAGAACAGTATTGCTACAGATAGTTAAACTACCAAAAATATTAATAAGATCTAGTTTAATATGACTTGTTGAAATCTATCTCTAGGAAGCGACAAAATCTTATTACTAGTAGACCAACAAAACATCAATGCAACAGTCAGTCAGCTACAACGTAGGACCAGGCACGTATGTGCATCGGTCCAGGTTGCCATACCGCATCAGCACAACAAGATCAACACCGGATTCATAGCAGTGGTTAGGTCAAAGGTGGTAATATATAAGAGAAAGATTGCATATAGAGATATAGTACAAGAAGAAAAAATTGGTTCGTAGAAAGAAAGGTATGAAGCGATTTTAATCTCTTAGTTTAAGGGAAGACAGGGAGTGTATACACCGACGCCATTGTGATCGATTCTGAGCCATGTCACCAAGAGTCTCCAACCATTGGTTACAATAGTCACACGGACCCCAACCAAGTAGTCTGCATCTACCAACATGGCTCAGACTAGAAGTTAGTGACTTCAAGCACTGATGCCACGTTTTGGTTTGGCCGCCCCTAACTTTCTTCCAACCATCTCCAATACCGGATAGCATTGCACGTCGTGGTAATCGGTGTCCAGGCATACGTAACACGTGGCCCAACCATCTCAGTCGATGAAGATCCATAACCTCATCAACTGATTTACCATCATTTCCTAATACCCTGCGTCTAACCTCACTATTATTTACCCGGTGATCCCAGCAGACGCCAGCAATATTTCTAAGGCATATGTGGTCAAATACTAAGAGCTTATGAGTGTCTTCTACTCTTAATGGCCATGTTTCGCTGCCGTAAATTAAAACAGAACGGACTGCCGCGCAGTATACTTGTCCTTTTATTGATAGACGGATATCTCGCCTTCGCCACGGGTGACGTAAGTTGGCAAAAGCCAAACGAGCTTTTCGAATCCGTGCTGAGATTTCGTCAGACACCAACCCATCAATGCAACAACTCATCCTCAAGTATAAGCTGGTGTACTCGACCGGTCCAAACTGAAAGAGACGGAACAGGGTTCGGACTTGGAACGTATTAGCTGAAATTTAAGCGGTCTAACCAACAAACTATCGGTTCATAATGGAATATAAACTGTCATACTTTCATATGAGTAATAAAACTACAGCTGTTTTGAAAGTGAACAATAAATACAATAGATGTTATTCATGGATTCAGATACATTTAATTGAATCCTAGGTTTTGTAGATAAATATATTAACTAGACACAAATGTAATAATACACCTACCGGTTCGTCTACGTTGAGTATTTTTTAAACTATTCACATTATTTGGATCCGATATCCATGCTTGCAATCGTCTATAAGAATCTCGACCACGTGCAGTTAATCTGTACCATGGTCTCGGTTTCGACAATAATTCACTCATTGTACCTTGACTTAATTTAAGTATATGCCTAGAGAATTGGCGTTGTGAAATATTATGCTTTGTAAGAAGATCTCTAACTGTAGCGGCTATTTCAAAAGTGTTCAATGGTTCAATTTGATCTTTCGTAAACTGTTGTGACGAATCAATAGATGTAGGACTGTCTAATGGATCGATGTTCTCATCTATACAGTTGACAACTGCTCCTGAATGACTCAGTGAAATGCACTCATCATTATGGGACAATATAACAGTAGAGGTTGAGGATATAGGTGGATCTGTTGAGGTAGTATTGGTCAAAGTTGTTGATAGACATGTTGTGGTTTGCGGATATCCAGGACCCAGTGAGTTTACCAATAAAATAGGAGGATAAGATTCAGTCGCGCCAGTTTGTGTTGCAATGGTAGTAGTAGTAGCAGTAAAAGTTGTTAGTAAATTAATTTGTTCATTTAAAGGGATATAGTGCATTTGACTTATTGACATTGAATCAGTCAAAGTTCGATTGGTTTGTGGACGACTTACGATTGAATTGATAGTATTTTCTACTTGGAATTATAAAGTGAGAAATAGTTATGATCAATTTTTTTGTTGAACGACAGAGCAAATCAAGGTAAAATTTTAACAAGAAACACATGAATTAAACATTCTCTATATAGTGAGAGATATGAGTTCTGAAGAAGCAATTATAAAGATTAGTTCATTAATTAGATTTCAAATAAAAAATGTATTCGATAAATCATTCTCTTCTTTCTAGGGCTAAACCAAACTAAGGACGGTATTTAATTGATTAACTTGGGAACTTTTAAATAAAATAAAAATAATACAGGAGGTTATTTCAAAAGCAAACTTATCATTATTTTAAAACATTGCGACCATGAGCTACGGAAATTGTAACAACAATCATACAACACCAAATTCAGTTGACCAATTCCTATTAATTTCTCCTTTTCAAGGTCATGCGGAGAACTTTTCCCCTATAAAGTCCAGCTTTCCCTAATCCTACTTATATGGAGTTATCATTATCAAAATGGTATCTCACCTGAGACCAGTACAACCTATGCATTAAACTGAGTCTCCTTCAACCAAAACGGAAATATTATGTTTAGTTTCTAATATTATATAATTTACAGACGTGATCAATTGTATAGTGGTTCTGTCTTTTGAAAACCATTCACAATCAGGATTTTGGGAGATCAGTCTCAAGGAGATATTATCATTCATCTAACATCTCAGTCATAATCAGTAATTTTTTGATCAGGTCAATTAAGCCGATACAATAGTATATTTTGTACAACAACAAGAACAATATAATGTAAGTTAAGGTTTTTTCTATTTAAAAACAAGCGTTTACAAATATGTGGTGTTAATTAGTGATCACCTACCACCTCATTATTTTTATATTTAAATTAATAACTATGTGAACTGAATCAATCTCCTTATGTACATCCTCTATTCTATCTTTAGTTTGTTTGCTTTTTTTCCGACAAAACACACTTAGAATTACAAAAAGCAACTAATTTAATGAAATATCACCATTTTACCTAATTACCTATTAATTAAAATAGTCGATTAATCAATATGAATCGGACATGAATACAATTCCAAGTATAGGTAGGTAGGTGCCAATTCATTGATATATTACAACGGCAATCATAATCGTGCATGAATACACTTAGATATACGTGAAGAGAAGAAGCATTTCAATAATGTACGTTTCTATTTCAATAATAAAATCTATAATTGATGTGCATTACCTTTATCATTATTAATATCATCATATTATCTGAGATGAAAATCAATAATGACAAACAACATACATACACGCACACATACATGGATACAATAAAAATGGAATAGAATACTGTACGAAATCGGAAAAATATTGATCTTAAGAACAGTATTATTTTCTCTCTCTCTCTCTCGTTTAGTATTCATGTATATGTGTGCGTGTAGCTATGCACAAATTAATCAACTAATTAATTTATAAACCATCAATAACTGACATTTTTTCTAGAAAATAAGAAAATTAGTGGTAGTTATTTTTTTTTCTTTTGAGTAGTTGTTATTCATTGGTTTTTGAAGATTATCATTGAAGATGCTAGGATGAGTTTATAAAGAAATAATGGACAGGAAATGAATTGATTCCTTCTAATTTATGGAATAGGTAATAAACCAACTAAAATATTCCTATCAAAACTGGAGTTCTTTCGGGTTCGTTCAATGTAAACAAAAAATACACATTATTATTGTTATTATTATTCCCATCTGTTAATTTCAGAAACTCAATTCTATGTTAAACAAGCTGTTGGTTGTAGTTGAAAAAATGTCAGTAAAACTGTGTATATTATAAATAAAATAGGTGCCCTTGGAGCGTTACTTTAAATTATTGCTGAAATTACGCAATAAGGCATAATATCTAGCTGTAAAGTGTCAGACTGTTAGCGGGACATAGACCGGATTAAAGCATGCTCAATGCATGATTGCTTTGGTGCACGCTGATTGGCTAATTCTTAACCAATCAGCACTAGTCGATAGTTGGAGAACACTCTAGAATCTTCTCATGTAGGATACTATAAATATACTGACGTTTTTCTCTATTGTGCTTCTGACTTCCATCTAACCTTGTTATTTGGAATATAATCTCTTCCTGTTCAACCGTGTTTTGATTTGGGGACTTGTCGAGTGAATCGGTGTCCGAGAATACTAAGCAATAGGAATAGCTGGGTCATTAACCGTAAGAAACAGAATTATAACAGTGGCGACGGGGAAAAAGGAAAACAAATTCAAGATGCCTATATCAGATGACCAGCTTAACCGAATACTACAACAACAGCAAGCACAACTTGATGCACAAATGCGGTTGTTGGAGACTCTGACTCGACAGTTCAACATCCACAGTTCGAGTTCACACGCTATTTCAAGTTCGTCTTGTGATGCAGTTGCTAGCAGCATCCCAGAATTCGTCTATGATCCCGAAAATGGAAATACTTTTCTCACGTGGTTCAGACGTTGGGAAGATACATTTAGAACAGAATTCTGTAATCAAGACGATGCGTGGAAGACCCGATTGTTGGTACGTAAGTTGGGAAGCAACGAACATGCACGTTTTGCTGACCATATTTTGCCAAAGTTACCTCGAGAGCTCAGTTTCGAGGAGACGGTATTTCAGCTGTCAGAGATATTCGGCGAGTCATCCTCGTTGTTTAGTATTCGATATCGGTGTCTAAATTTGGTGAAACGCGAAGCTGATGAATATGGTGTTCTAGCAGACATTGTCAACAGAGAATGTGAACGTTTCAAGTTGCGCTCGTTGACTGATGACCAATTTAAATGCTTAATATTCATCAAAGCTCTTCAGTCACCACAAGACGCTGAGATCAGGACTAGACTTTTGGCTCGACTGGACCAAGATCCAAACGTCACACTCAGAACATTGACAGATGAGTGTAAGCGTCTACAAAGCATCAGACACGACAACGAGTTGATTGAACAGGTAAATCCTAATTTAACCTGCGGTAGTGTAAATACTATTACTAGGTTAAAAGTTCAGAAGCCGGTAACAACTCGTAACAAACCAAGGACTGCATGCTGGTTATGCGGTGATTGGCATTATGCACGATTCTGTCCGTTCAAGAAGCATAAATGTCAGGAGTGCAACAAACGTGGACATAAAGAAGGTCATTGTCCACCGAAGCGTACGTCTCAGCCTAAGAAGAAGCATAAACGTCCTCGACATGTGAAATCAGCCGAGTCCAAATCTCTTTCTTTGGTAGCTGCCTTTCAAACAAACTATGACATTCAGAGAAAGTATGTTACTATCCAGATAAACGGCATATCAGCTCGTCTTCAAATTGACACGGCATCAGATATCACGTTAGTGTCTAGAGAAACGTATAACTTGCTGGGTAAACCGCCAATGAAGCCATCTAAGAAAACGGCTAAAAACGCATCAGGTGGTGTGCTAAAACTGGTTGGTGAATTACAGTGTGAATTTTCCTTCAATGGAACTAACTGTACAGGAATATGTTACCTAACAGAACGGCCGAACCTTGATCTTCTTGGTCTAGATATGTTAGACAAACTTGGAATAATGGATGTACCAATTAACAGTGTCTGTAACGTATCGTGTTCATCATTGAACAGCTCAGTACTTCCAAAGAAGACAGGTGAAAGGTTACTAGAAAAACTGAAAAGAAAGTTTGCCTCTGTTTTTCAGAATAGCCTTGGCCACTGTACCAAGATGAAAGCGCATTTACCAGTAAAACCAGATGCCATACCTATTTTTCGCCCGAGACGTCCTGTACCATATGCTGCTCTTGAGCTAGTCGACCAGGAACTTAATCGCTTGCAACAGGCTGGTGTAATCCGACCAGTTAACTACTCTGCATGGGCCGCACCGATCGTAGTGATTAAGAAGGCCAATGGGACTATACGCATATGTGCCGATTTCTCGACCGGTTTAAATGCTGCATTAGATGTATATCAATATCCATTACCAGTTCCTGAAGACCTGTTTGCCAAGCTTAATGGTGGGACATGCTTCGCGAAAATAGACTTCTCTGATGCTTATCTCCAAGTGGAAGTAGATGAAGATAGTAGAGAGCTTCTGACTATTAACACTCATCGAGGGTTATTTCAATACACTCGTCTACCATTTGGCATCAAGACCGCACCCGCCATCTTTCAGCAAATAATGGATACGATGCTAACAGGTATACCTGGTACAGCAGCTTACCTAGATGATATCATAGTTATGGGTTCAACTGATAGTGAACTTTCTGATCGACTACACCAAGTCCTTAACCGAGTGTTGGAGTATGGTTTCCAACTACGTGAGGAAAAATGTATCTTTTTCATGCATTCGATCAAATACCTTGGTTTTATCTTAGATAAGAACGGTCGCCGACCAGATCCTGCCAACATCGAAGCCATTCAGAAGATGCCTGCACCAACTGATGTTTCTTCATTAAGATCCTTCTTGGGGTTAATCAGTCATTACAGCACATTCTTGCCTGAAATGCACCGAGTGAGAGGTCCCCTAAATGAATTACTATCGAAAGATAAACCTTGGCAGTGGTCAGCAGAATGTCAAGCATCTTTTGACAGAGTCAAATCAATGCTCAGCTCAAAGATTCTTTTGACGCACTTCGATCCCAGCTTGGAAATTGTTGTTGCATCTGATGCCTCTAGTCATGGAGTTGGAGCAGTGATATCTCACGTGTTTCCGGATAAATCAGAGAAGACAATTGCCCATGCTGCTAGATCACTTACTCCAGCCGAGCGAAACTACAGCCAAATTGAAAAGGAAGCTCTTGCAATCATTTTCGCAGTCAAAAGATTTCATAAAATGCTCTATGGTCGTACATTTACTCTACTGACAGATCACAAACCTTTGATTGCAATCTTTGGTTCTAAGAAAGGAATCCCTGTCTATACGGCTAATAGACTACAGCGCTGGGCAACAATGCTCCTGAGTTATGATTTTAATATCAAGTATCAGTCAACAAATACTATCGGTCAAGCTGACGCTCTCTCCCGATTAATTGGAGTTCAACATCCTGGACCAGAGGATATAATCATTGCCTCCACAGCAGTAGACCCAGAAATACGAAGTATAGTGGCAGATGCCATTCGAAACACTCCAGTGTCGTCAGATGAAGTCAGGGAAGAAACGCTTCGAGACCCAACACTACAAGAAGTTAGAAAGTTCCACCTAGAAGGGTGGCCCTCGAAAATCTATTCCACAGACCTTCAACAGTTTTACCAGCGAAGACTCTCTCTTTCAATCATCGATGACTGTCTGCTGTTTGCCGAACGTGTCATAATTCCCAAGAAGCTACAACCAGCAGTGCTTGAACAGTTGCATGCAGGACATCCTGGAATAAATCGCATGAAAGCACTAGCACGAAGTTATGTATACTGGCCGCATTTAGACACCCAACTGGAGCAGCTATCCCGTTCCTGTACCAAATGTGCATTAGCGACAAAAGCACCGCGAAAAGCAGAGCTGCAATCATGGCCAATACCACAGTTACCGTGGCAGCGTATACATTTGGACTTTGCTGGTCCACTCCATGGACAAAATTATCTTTTGGTGGTTGATGCATATAGCAAGTGGCCAGAAATTTTTCTCATGGAACACCCTACTGCAAGCTGCACAGTCAGTAAACTACGTCAACTATTCAGTCGTTTTGGAATCCCGGAATTGATAGTTAGTGACAACGGAACACAGTTTACGTCCGGAATCTTCTCACAATTTTGTCGGCAGAACGGAATCCAGCACCTGCGAACACCTCCATTCCATCCCCAATCAAATGGCCAAGTGGAACGCTTTGTGAGTACATTTAAAAATGCTCTAAAAAAATCCAAAGGGGAAGGGACCACTGAAGATATCTTAGAGAGGTTCCTGTTTATTTATCGCTCTACACCGAACCCTCAGACAATTAACGGGGTCTCTCCAGCAGAAGCTCTACTTGGCAGAAAGATACGAACACATTTCGATGCCATCCGTCCTACGCCAGCTATTGAACCCCAACGAAACCTATCGATGGAGAATCAGTTTAACCGACATCATGGGGCACAAAGACGATTGTTCACGGTGGGACAAAAAGTGCTTGCTATGGACTATCGTGGGAAACACCCTACATGGACAGCTGGTCGGATCGTGAAAAAGAAGGGGAGTGTGGTTTACGAGGTGTCAGTTGGCTCGGAAGTTTGGGTACGTCATGCTAACCAATTGAAAGCAACTTCGATAGCCAGCAACAAGATTCAATATCGATTACCTCTTGATGTTCTGCTAGACACCTTTGAAATCAAAACGCCGGGAATAGACACGTCAGTTTCTGTGCAAGAAAAGAGTGATACTTCACTATTGCCTAGACGATGGACTAATCGAAAGCACAGGCCAGTCACTCGGTTGCAGTTGGACCCTAGCACCAGATCCTACGAATCTGCTCAAAGGGGAGGTGTTAGCGGGACATAGACCGGATTAAAGCATGCTCAATGCATGATTGCTTTGGTGCACGCTGATTGGCTAATTCTTAACCAATCAGCACTAGTCGATAGTTGGAGAACACTCTAGAATCTTCTCATGTAGGATACTATAAATATACTGACGTTTTTCTCTATTGTGCTTCTGACTTCCATCTAACCTTGTTATTTGGAATATAATCTCTTCCTGTTCAACCGTGTTTTGATTTGGGGACTTGTCGAGTGAATCGGTGTCCGAGAATACTAAGCAATAGGAATAGCTGGGTCATTAACCGTAAGAAACAGAGTTATAACACAGACAGAGATGGTATATCGTGGTATAAGGTTATGAAAATTCATCGACGGCCAGTAGTTGAGACATGTGTTTCGCATACTAATAGACTAGGAGGGACCAGAACAAGATATGGCTGTATTATGAGGTGTCACCTTTATGGTCAAAGTAGTATATGATTAAAACCCCTGATAATAGTCCAAATCTTTAAAGATAAATTATCTTGGCATTACTCTGATTCATTTTGAGCTATATTCTCTACTTTTTTACGCTAGGCGACCATTAACATCAATAGTCTGAGTTTATAGTTTCTCTCTCTCTCTCTCTCTCTCTCTCTATATATATATATATATATATATATATATATATATATGGATATGTCAGGTCCTGCTCAAGAAGAAAGGAGGATAAAAAACATTCCAAAATAAACAATTACACCACTCAATGTAATTAAAATTCTCACGATAACTGGTCTCAATTTAATTACAAAAACATTGAATGTTACTATTATTAGTATAGAGGTTTTGTGGAGAATGGTGAAATTTCATAGTTTGGAGAAAGGACTGATCTCATTTAAGTCACCACAGAAAACCAAGAAGCACTGTACAACTGTCTCATCTTGCTACAGGAACCCTCACACGTGCACATTTACGACCTCGAGGAAAGCCAAACCCAAGACCTTAGGCCCCACGTGCGCAAGTGCTTAGCCTCTTGACTACTGGGCCTGGGTTGAACTGAGGAGTCCCATATACTTGAGAAAAAGATCTCCAGTGGGTCCTGATGTTAGTTTGTAGTCTAACTGAGATCAGTTCATGATATTAACTATGAATATTTCTTTCTACATTCAGTAAGAAGTAAACACATGGTGAAAGTATATAATAACTATTAAATTCAGTCTAATAGAGATCATATCATTATGCTTAACAAATTGCTTACAAGCTCATGTCAGTCAATCAAAAAGAATTGTAGTCAGGTGTAATTCCGATAATTAAACGTGAAATTTGGAATTATTATGTGATAGATACTAGTTTAGTGATTTCTAACAAGTAGTATAGTTAGAAAGACATCGTTTTCAGTCTATGAGATATTAGAAAAAATAACAACGATGAAACTATTGTCAAAAATGTATTGATTGACAAAGTAAATCTATTTATGCATGAAAGTTTGAACTACAATAATAACAGTCAAGTTACTCAAAAGAACATGTTAAACTTGTAGTCGGATAAATGTTTAGTAAAGCTCGACAACTGCAAAACATAGGAAACGTAATCTTAGTAATTAAATTAGAGAATTGTTCAATTAATTTTACTGGAAATGGCTTACCAATGGAGTGGAATAACAAAATAACTATTTTAACCCACAGATAAACTTTTTTATTATAATTTATCGGTGTATTTAAAATCTTCGATAGAATGTTGCACCCAATTGGCTTTTTAATAGTGTACGAGTCTAAAGACCAGGAGGTCAATGGAAGTCAAGACTAGTGTGTACAAACTACAAAATTAAATGCGACCACCGGTATCATAATACATCAACCAAACGAGTCATTGGATTGCTTAGATAAATAATATATGAGGACCATTTAGTATTGCACGATATTATCATTGATTTCAACATACAAACAAAGTCAGATAACTATAGCTGAGTTTATCCGAGACATTATAAAGGCTCAAACTCATAAACTATGAAACTACTTATTGTAACATACCATTCAAGTGAGATAATTATCAATAAATACGGTCGAGTATTGTTGGGGTAATCATGAGATCGTTCAATTTTTCGTAATAATCTTATTCTTACTAGCAACAATAACCACTACTACTTTTCTTTAATTTAATGTTTTGCACGACCTTTGCCCTTTACTGATTGGTTGTCACTACTTTTAGTTCGCTAGTTCTTTGTGTACTTGAAGTTCATGCATTCGTTACTATATATAGTGGCTTTTACTATTTGAGGTTAATCTGCTTGAATATCAATTTTTTTTCCTACAGCTCATCGTTTTTTGTGTTAGCAGCCAATTGTTAAAGTGTTGTATCTAAACTGGTGTTATCGTTCGCACTAGACCAGCTTAATCGTTCGATCATTCGCAAACATATCGCAAGTCGACCGGAGACCCCAGTAGATATAATTGTTTTTTTCATTAAGATGCAGCAGGTCAGCTTAGAAAGAATAAGGAAGTATAAATACCATTACAGAACAAATATTATTGCCAGTCTTTAGGGACTACGATTAGTCCAGTAACATGGAATGAAGTTAATCATAGGTTGAAGAAATAGATCTATGGAAAGATCATAGGGATGCGTGCATTGAGTGAATTTTACTACTGAAATTGAGTTAAAATATTAATGATCAGAAAAATTGATAGTCCACACCACCACCGACAAAGAAAAGTCTAAAAATAGGATATTTGCGACGACCTTCCAGTACTATAATGTTTTCAATGGTGGTCTAACTTAGATCAGTTCATGATTTTAATGAAAAACAAACGCATGATATAAACCATAAAACGCAAATTCAATCATACATCAGAAGAAAATATATTAAAATAACATACCCAATGGAATCTTTGAATTCACACACAATGGAATACATGAAGGAACTGAACCATGAAGTACAGATAAAACTGACGGTGAAGATGAAATACTTGAAGGTGAAATAGGTAAGTTTTCTGATGATGATGGGTTTGTTAAAATTTTTAAAGGCATAAAAGATGTAGACAGAGTAGAAGGATTGTAGATTACACTTGATGGAAGTGTTGTCGCCGCTGTTGATGTACAGTATGATGGTGAACTGATGTTAGTCACATAATTAAGATTGTCTGATGTAGGTAATTGATTATGAGTAATTTTAGTATTATGTACATTGTTCAATGGAAAACTAGCTGAACAAATGTCAATGGTAGACAACTCCGTATTTATCATTGGATTAATTGGTGAAAATATAGGCGTATTATTTTTATTATTACATAGATAAATGGATGAATTTAAAGGATGTGAGTACGCAGAAGACGTTGTTGTTGTACATGATGACTGAAGATGAATTCGATTAATTAGAATATTTTGGATAGATACTAAAACAGTTTGAATTTCTAAAAATTGTTGTTTTAATTGACTGACTTCTTGAGATAATTTATTTTGCTGGGAATGATAAAAGTTAAATGGTGAATAATTACGAATATCGATGTCTTTGGGTGGTGCTTACACTTAAAGAAATATGTACAAATTGGTTCAGCCAAATAAAGTAAGTGGAACGCAGCGAAATATAATTTCAAACTGACTTAATAACTCAGAATGAAATAAACAAAATATTAAGCAATCTCTACAAAATCGTTATTTGGTACCGAAAATCTGGAATTAAAGTAACTTTACTTGGAAAATAAATATTCACTGAAAAAACCTTCAAACCAACGACTCTAAATGCACCAGTTACACATTCATATTATATCCCCCAAATATCCAGATACGGCCAGTGGTGGAGAAAGAAATGCTCTTATATGGCCTCACATAGATAGCCACCGCCAGGGAAGTCCTATTTACTACCTTCTCGCATCGACTGTGTTGTTTATGGAAACCAGATGCCCGACGTTTAAACCAGGTTGATGGGTACCGAGAATTTACTTAGGGAAGTAGGGTAACCTTGATTTCAGACCGATGGCGCACATGCGCTCTAGGATCATGAGGGGACAAATAGTGTATGAACCTATCTACGATAGAAATAACTACAGAAAATAGCTGGATTACTTAGTTTTGTATGAAACAAAGCTGTAAAGCGAAATATGAATATATTAATTGGGAAAATGACTAAATCAATAATGAATTCTATAAGACTGTAACAATTCATGTTTTTGTTAAACTCGTTATTTACATGAATAAGAGATGAATCGTCAGTACATTAAATTATTAAATATAAAAAGTAAATATGCATCAATGTATATTACCTGATTTCGTACATCTTTTAAAATTTTCATACGAATACAGTTTTCTCTACATTGATGACAGCATGTTGAAGAGGAATTATTTAGTCTGGTGATAGTCGGACAAGAATTTGTTGAAACCGAACAATTATCATCGTCATTCTCATTGTTATTTTCAAAAACAGTTTCGTCAACATCAATTTTATGTCTAACAAAAAAAAGCAATCAATTGAACAATTAAATGTGTACAGGGAAAAAAAGTCACGACAAAGAAGAGGTCGTCAACATAGTAAAATAATCACCAATAGTCAAAGAAATAACAAGAAAGTTCATCGCCAACAATAAACAAATGAAGTGTTGACAGTGAAAGTATACTTTACTGACAACCTTTCCAGCGACCAGTAAAATGACTTTGAGAAAGTAAAGCAGATTCTCGACCAATCCAGATGCAAGGAGTATTGAGCGAAAAGAATATGTTTTATGCGTTTTGCAATTAGCTTTTTGATTTTTCCATGTTTTGAACTTTTTGTGAAGATCCAAGAGCAACAATCTTCAACTTGATTGGAGGCAGATACCAAAAGAATGAACAGCACTTAGCAAAAATTGGAAAGGACAGCCTATAAAAGTGTAGGTTGAAGATTCCTGATCGGTGGGTTTTTTTCTCCACGACGGGTAACAAGCGTAAACAAGTAAGACTGCTACCAGAAATATCATATTTTTACAAAGTAACAACCAGTTTTATCGTTCGATTATACATCTAAAACAAGATTAATTATAAATATCTCGGTTCTAGATGTCAGTTTCAGCCCAGTAGTTACGTCTTCAAACTGCGAAACTGAGTGACAAGGGATTAAATTGACCAAGGACCACCAGCTCCAGTAGGATTACCGGTACACCATACTGACGAATGCTAAATAACACGAAACCTAAGTTCAGGGTTTCCTATCGGTCAATTTCAACCAGCTATCATCTACTATTTTATTTTTAGGTCTTCAGTCTTAAAATTACTTTATACTTTTTATTTTAAGAATTTATATTCTCTAGAATAATGTCTTTTAAGCCTAAAGTTAGGCGTTACCACTGCTACTGTTACTCTTCCTACGGTTTGGGCATTGTGCTGTATTAATGTTATACAGTAACTTGGAACAAAGCATATATGTCCCAGTTCCTGACTAATTATGTAAATTTATAATATGTGCATGGAAGTGGGAAGTCCTGATTAATAAATATCATCATTACCCAGTAGTTCCATTTGATTCAATATATAACAAGCTCTACACTAGGGTACCAAAATACAATAAATTAACACACATTTTTAATTATTGCACAAAAATGACAAATATTGGCGTCCAAATGTATCATTTTTATGTATTAGACAGAAAACTAGTACACTTTTCATATTGACAATTCAAAAATACAGTATCATATCCTCCAACAAAGAACTAGACTAACTATTGGTTAATAATAATAATGAACAACAACAAAAAACACTGAGGTAGGTGTGGGTGAATGAATGAGTGAACGGACAAACGAGCATTTGCGCTGAATAATAATAATAATAATAATATCTATTCGAATTGGACCAATCAGTCAGTCAATCGAAAAAAAAAATTCATCGATCATGATCAATAAATCAGAACTGACACAAAGAAACAGATGTTTTCAATAAATTATGTGATAGATAACGTTAACAATAATTAAGCTGTACATCAAATTTTCTACCGCTGCTCAGTATTCAATACGATGTTGTTAAATAGGCACACACACACAAAGACCTCTTACAAAAAACTATGCATATATATATGATTAATTTCTCTCTCTCTCTCTTATAATCGATTACAGATATATATATATATATATATATGTAGATAGAGAAATTATTGATTGGTGGGTAAGAATTAATTCATAGGAAATCTATAAGTAGAAAAGCGATATAATAGATGACCTTGACAAATAGCAAATCATTTTAAAGATAGACGGGGGTTAGACTATGAAAACCACAAACATCCAAATGTTGATTATTCAATAATAACAATGCTGATCATTAAATAAAACAAGAAAAAGAAGCAAAAAATGATGATAGATAGGATGAAGAGCATGTTAGAAGCTGACTCATTCATCTCTATCTATGGTATGAGAAAGATTTTCTATCATGATAATTATAAGAGAATTAGCGTTAAAATGGTTCAATCTGTTTTCAACAAAGTGTGTATATCATTATCTAAGCAAGTAAAAGACGCATAAGAAGCTCCGACGTACTATTTCGACGATATGTAGTCGGGTAATGATAAGCGAGGTCTTTTAAAGAAAATTCTAATGATACATACACATACACGCATTACGTTAACTAAATACAAAAAAGATTGAATTTACGGGAACTGATATTCAAGATCGATCTCCGATTTTAGTGTCTTAGGTAATGGGGTCAGAGTTTCAGTCGCATATGGCATACTGACACTGTTGAAGATACATGTATTTAAAAAGTCATGAATGGGATAAAACGCGCATCGTGGATTTCATTGTTAATCATTACCTAAAAACTACTAAACAAATCCAAACTATACACGACATTGATTTTAGCAAACTGGTGAACAGTATCTAAGACGAACTGGTTCATTACAAGAACTAATCATCTAAGTGTTGTTTCATGTACAACTAAATTCACCAATGAAGATAAATGTATTAATGGCATAAAATGGTATACTTACGTATGATTTTCCGGAAACTAAAACCGTTACCTATTGGCAGTTTCATAGTGTGAATTATTTTGTACAACCACAATTATTTCTGATAAGAAAACATTTTAAATAATCACATTATACACCATTGAGATTTCAATATTTATTCCGCAGGATTTTGATTGAGTGTTTACTCATTTGTTTGAAACACATCAACTTGCATATACATGACGGAGTGTATCAATACATTTCAAATTAAGTTAGGATTCAGTATAAATCGTTTTGAGCATTTCAGTGTTATCTGAGGATTAGCTTATATTTGGAAATAAGTTACATGAACGAATGACAAATTCATATAATCCTACATGTTTTCTTTTTTTCACTTGAACAAAACATGGAGAGGTGTGATTGCAGTACTATGTCAATTACCTTTATTCTTCCATCTGTAATTATGTCGTAATTTAGCTATTGGGTTTGAACTTTCCAATGACTTCATCATCAAGTGTAGTGATAATACAGCCAAAAATCTAGTTGTAAGGTGTGAGAACTGAAATGCGGGATAAATATAGGGACTAGCTGATTACTTGGATCGATCGCTTCACTTATCTTGGAAGTCTCATCAGCCCTTGTGGTCTGGTGTGTGACGAAATCTCAGCACGGATACAGAAGGCTCGACTAGCTCTCGCCAACTTGCATCATTTATGGCGTAGGCGAGATGTCCGTCCATCAACCAAACGACGTGTTTACTGCGCAGCAGTTCGTCCCGTCCTACTTTATGGCAGTGAAACATGGCCGGTAAGAGTAGAGGATATTCTTAGGTTACTAGTACTCGATCGTAGATGTCTTCGAAGCATTGCTCGTATATCCTGGGACCGTCGAGTAAGTAACGCAGTTGTTAGGAAACGGGTACTAGGCAAGGATGGCAAATCAACTGATGAAGTTGATATGGCTCGGACACGTGTTACGTATGCCCAACCACCGACTGCCTCGATGTGCGATTGGAAGAAAGCTAGGGGCGGCCAGACCAAAACATGTCACAAGTTCATGAGTCACTGACAAGTGAACTGAGTCATGTTGGTAGGTGTAGACTACATGATTGGGGACCGAGAGATGATAGCAACTGATGGTTAGAGACCCTGAATGACATGGCTCAAAATCGTTTGCAATCGCGCAGGTGCATCCACTCTTTGTGTTCTCTCAAATTCTAATATTCTGAATTCTTCATGTCTTTCTTTTTTCTTTTTCCAAATTTATTTCACTGGATTATACTCCTTGAATAAAATCTTCAAACCCTAATTTTTCTGATTACAGCTTATACTCTTACTACATCGAGCGCTACGGGATTTGAATCGACCACTGCATCTCTGTGCTAATGTGGTGTGGCAACTCGAACTGATGTACGTACGTACGTACGAAGTTCTACGTTGTTACTGACTGACTGAATCAGCCGTATTATACTACAGGGTGACTAGCAATAAATAATCCAGACAACGCAGTTCAACAGTAACGCAGTCACTCCAAAACCGAGGGCTTGGGAAGTGATCTTCTTGGCTACTGAAGGATTTAGCAATGTGACTGAAGTTCCATTGCTGGGTGTTGGATTATTGGTTAAAGGTGTTTGAATTTTAGCCAGGTTCAAGACTCGTTTCATGTACTTCAGTTAAGGCAGTCGGGCAGTATTATCATCCGCCACACTTGGAGTGTGACTCATACCCAATTACTTGGGAAATAAGTTAAGAAAAAAAGTAGTGTTGCGTTACATTTTTAAATTTCATCTTTCAAGAGCAAAAAGGTAAAGAAAAATCTTACCGAATATTTTAGTACTAGATACTCGATTTCCAATCAATAAATCACAGGTTAAAAATCAGGTGAACCTGATTTGGTTTCGATAGATAACTGATATTACTAGCTCTATCAACAAAATTTTCGTCATAAATCGTTAAATATATTACTAATCTGTTAAATATTTTTTTACTTCTTTAATAATATACAGACTAGGAAGACTACTAACTATGTACATTGTACAACTGTGTAATTAACTTGTGAGGTGTGATAGTTCATTCGATAAATACACTACAGTTTAATGCTTAAAGAACAGATAAGATAAACACAGATTTTGAGTTGATAAACATGTACTTGTCCTAATTATTATTAATTTTAGTAGCGGACGAAGACATAATAAACCTTACCCAATTAATCGTTTTAAGTGCCGACCACAACGTTTGAGGATTTTCAATCTGTACATAGAACTTGAAGGTCTGTTTTTATATGACTTTCTGTTTTTAAAGTGTGTCAAACAGTGGTGACTAGATGGATCATCCTTTACAGAATGTAAATTATTTTGTCGATCCATTAATGTAGCCCGAGAAATCGTCGAATTTACGATAGCAACGGAATGCCCAGATGTTGCTGACGGATCACTTTTCTCCAAAGTGCACATTCTATAGAAAAGTGGCTATTTTGAATGACTCCAGTAGAACATATGACGAATTATCTACACACGAAACAAAATAAAATAACCAGTTACACAATGTGAGAATTATAACAACCAGAAAACAAACACCCATGGTATAAACCATTGGGCTACCTCAAATAATTAGACTGTAAATCTGGGTTATCAAAGTCTAGATATACAATAGAAAATAGTTCAAAGCCAGTATTTCTATTCCGTGCATATGGAACATAAACTAGCCAATGGTATTCAGTTTACGTTTTTAGAACTGATATAATTTTGTGGAAGCTACATGCAATTAATCACGTAAATTTATTTAACGCAGAGAACTTGTTAAATGAGTGAATTCATGACATTGGTGACTTAAGCGCGTTCAACTTATTTTGCCTCAGAAACTCATACTGATGATTATTCATCATACTAATGTGGCCGGTTTCAGTAACGTTACATAAAAAATTGAGTTTGTATAAAAATAATTACCGCACGATAATGATCTGTAAACAGTAAGCATTGATCTGCAACTTTCATAACCAGTGGTGAGGTCAATTAGGGGTTCCCAAATGAACATGTGAAAAGTAAACCAAAGGGAGCTAAAAGACTATTTGTGAGATACTGAAGAAAAAAAGAGCGAGTAAAGACTAATTCATCTGTGTCCTGATAAGCATTTGTCTATAGCAAGCACCAATATAAGACGTCCCTTAACATAATCACCAATATCTATTCAACCGTTGGTAAAGATGGCCACTAAACAGAGATGAGCCAAGGGTTCATGTAGTTTTTGAATTATTTGTCTATACATCTACCAAATTAATGTTTCGAATCAAACGAAAGTGGATTTAATACTGATTGAATTTTATGCCCGATTTTCAAATAGAAACATCTAATATGTACTTAAAGAATTGGTTATGAGGTGGAAAATAGTAGCCTATTTTTATACTATTGTATCGAAATATCAAGTAAAGTTTATTTAAAAATTAGAATTGAAAGGTTACATTTGATTGAAGACTAGAAAAGTAGACTTCGGTAGCATTAAATAAGGAATTAAAAATCCATCTTCTTAGCTACAAAAAACTTAAGGCACACAAGCGACGTAGGAGCTGCCTGATAAAAACTAATTCACTAAAAGTATTAGTACAAATTTATAACGAAAGGATCATGAGTAGGCATTAGTATGGACATGCTTTAACATTGAAGGTCAACCCAACTTCAAGAGGAGATAGGTCTGGAATTTACTTAGGTGATAACTTGTGGTCACTAGTTTGACCAATATATTTGCTACAATGAGAATCAAAAAATTAGTTCGTTAGGTATGGTGAAGTTTGTTTCTGAAAAGAAACTGCGTTACCTCCACTTATCTTGGAAATCAGGATTAGTAGAATTATTGACTTAGAAGCAAACAGGTTGTTAGGTTTATGCTAACTGACGCTACATGTATTGCTGTAACATTAGTACATATTACCAATGGGACAATGAAGAACATAAATCGTTTCGCTTAAGAAGTGTTGATGACAATTTAATAGAAACACACTAACGATGACATGAGGAATAGCGTCTAGGTAAAGGTCATATACCTGATAACTGGAGGCACAGGTTGTGAGTCTAATAGACGATTTGATAGCAACGTACACACTAGCTTTTTAAACTAGATATTATTGAACGTGGTGTTATATTACGGATGACTATGTGACGATTCGTGCATCACTCTACTAATGGTTACGTCGAAAGTACTCGCTGACATTTTTGTGGTCAAAATAATTGCATGGCAAAAATTTATGGGTAATATTATGTGAGCTGTTGTGAGCATTGATCACTTAGGTCTCTTGTGACAACCAAAAGGAATGCTAGCGATAAAAATCTGACATCACAGAAATTGGAAAAAGACCGGTTGCAAATTTAAGGTTTTGGTATGAGCTTTCAAGTCCAACATTAGCAGGTTAACTGAATGACAAAATTTGCAACTACTAAGTGAAAAAAAGCCGCTACCAGGTCAAAAGAAATGTGTAGTAACTGAAGGAAACGTGCCAAAACACTCTTAAAGATTGTGATTTCACCAGTGTTTAGGCAAATGGAAACCTTAAATCTATAATTGCTCATCTTCAACTAAATATACTGTACAACGTACATTGCCCAATGAATATGCCACAATAAAATAAATTAAAACTTCCCAATCTAGTACTATGTGACATACATAACTAGGTATTATTAGGATGATGATGGATAATGAGATTAATTTTAGTGACTGAAATCTATCAAAGATAGTTTGTCCTTGATATAAAAACAATCAAATATGCCAGAAAAGGAAGATCAAATTTAAGCATATTTTTCGAAAATATATAGGGTGAAAATGCCACGTTTTCGCCTATGACACTCCAGACAACGATAGGCAATCAACATTAGGAGGAAATCTGTACGCTGGAGCCAAGCGATAAATATAACTGTGAAAGTTGGTTTAAGTTTCACCAGAAAATTTCATCGATTAGACGAGACAATAAACTGAAGCAACTTAAACCGAGTGTTAAAAATGCATTAAGCCATTATCCATCACAGGAAATAAAAACATACAGTGCATCAGAATGATAAAATCCAACGAACATCCAAACATTGAACCGTTTGAAAACAAATGACCTAAGTAATTGAAGAAACTAAACAAAAGTACTCAGTCGTTAAATAATTTCGTGTAATTGTAGACAGAATTAGGTCTACTATGATTTGCAATCTTTCGTACCTACTGTCTGAGGATTACTGAAACTTGCGAATAGGGATTTATGTATTCAACAAACAGCAGTTTTAGTTAAATAGTTTAAGATGATATTCTGAGTCCTTGTGAAAACATGGAGTTCAGTGTAAATGAACTCTATCAACTTATTTCTGTCAATTTAGACAGTAGACAAATATAAGACTCAAGCGTTTTTAAAAATAGAAAGCAACCCTATAGTGCCATTAGCTAAACTAGCCGAAGATTCCGATTACATCCTATATGCTTTATGTTAGGGCTTAATTTAAGTGTGTCTCAGAGGATTTTAACCAGTGACCATAATCTAGCAGGCTATCATTAGGTTAGCTCTACTTCCATCATTCTAGGAGGTATAAATCTAGTGGTTTCAGGAATTCCTTGTGTGACTAGTACATAAGTCCATATACTAATTTTATGGCTCACCTTCAAATACACTTTGGTGCTTTTATCCATTCCTCAAAGAGGAGGAAACATCGTTTTTTTGTTCCTTAATAACTTTAAATAAAACCGAAAAAACTCAAATGTTCAATGATACCAGTCCAAGAATGGCCGAAAGGCGTATTAGTTACACTTAGAGTATATTAGGTCGTAGGGAACAAATCTTTCCCAGTTAACTTGTATTCTACCCATTGGCTTCGGTTTCGGAGATCGGAAAGTCTGAATGGATTTCACCCTAAGTTGATGGAAAGCCTTATCAAGTATTGGTGAAACCCATAACTTTGTACTACATAAGGTCATATTCAGTAATAACTCTTATCTAGCATATTTGAATGGGGGGAGATTTTCTATTCTGTCAGCTCAAGATTGCACGTTAGTGAGCCGAGGCGTCCAAATTTTCAGACACTGCATTCAGTACTTTGATTTTTTCAAATAAATTTGAAGAATATGGTAGTGCGATTGCTTTCATCCAGATAAGCCAGAGGCGAGAATTCATTGACTAGAAATACGTTATTCGTAAAGATATACATTAAGCGTGGCAGTGTCTGGTTGTTTCTCTGACTTGCTGACTTAACCTCCCACAATAACCGTAGTTCTTTTATGACACTGAATAATCGATCGTGAATGGATTTATTTCTCCACTGTATGCATTTTCAGCTTAGCTTATTTTATGGAGAAAAAAGACCTCTAAGACAAAACCATTAATGTGTCTTAGTCTTAAGCCGATGCTTAACACTCTTTGCACTCAATTTCTTTTACTGGTTGTCAGCAGTATGCTTTCTACAAACAATTTCATTTGGATATTTCTGAGTCTAAGGCAGACTTATTAAGCATTATATACATTCATAAGGACAAGCAAACTCTTGAGCATATAACTTATATGACAACAGAACACAGCTTTACACCTACTTCTCTATCAATACTAAACGAAAAAATACTATGTGACGAATTAGTAATGCAGATGGCACAAATACACCTCAAGGTCTTTCCGTGGACCACCTCTATTATCATGTTACTTGTTGAAAGTGTTAGAAACAGGCAGTAGACACAGTTTATTTGTACAGTTACGGTCTAACTCAAAATAGGTACATACATCCTTGCTGTTGATGATGTCACAGGTATTCAGTGTTTGACAACGCTTCTACCAGTAACACCTAATATATTTCGTTCCCGCCCAGAGAAATCAAAAGACAGAGTCGAGGAGATCGGAAGAGTATATTTGGCGATGACCAATATATCGGAATTCTCTGATCTAATCTGGCTAGCGATTGCGGTTGATGTTGAGCACGGCGTTACCACACGTGATCTGGTGCGGATGCCTGACCGAGCGCCTTCAGCTAGGTGAGTCCACTAAAACATATGGTCAGCATCCAATGTCGAAAACTTAGTGCTATTTATTTTGGGGATTTATTTACCGCTACAGATCACTCCCCCCCTAGTGGGGCAGTGACGACCCTAAGACGTGGCCAGCCAGAAGTTTAAACCCAACGAGTTTGTCGTTGGTAAACACTCTTCTGATAGCTTACTAAATTTAGCAGCGTCTGGTCGTCTTTCCTTACTATATGGGACGGAGGTACAACATAGTAAAAAAATGAAAATGTACAATGAAAATTTCGGATCCTCATAAACGTCATCGTTCTTTTCCAGCCGTCCTGGAAAAGAAAAAAGAAAATGTAAGTGCATGTCGAAATACACTCGTATGTGCGTAAAAACACAATGTCGGCGGAGAAAAAATGGAAAATAAACTCATGAACACGTAATAGCATTTAAAAAAGTTGTTTTTTTTGTTTTGTATATTTTTTTTTAAATAGAAATAAAAATATATAAGCATATTAAAATTGTTTTTTTTTAAAAAAATAATATAAAATGTCGAGAAGTGCCTTACGTGCAATAGTCGTTTAGATGTTCTGGAAATCTCACCCTTCTTCCAGAACGCGTCGTTTTAAGTTTATTTTCGGATACTGTCGAAGTATCATCGTGTGTGTTGGTTGTCGGATGAGGTATTATAAGTGTCGGAGTCATGTCGTTCGATTGTACCGAAGGAAAATCCACGTAGATAGGATTTCCTTCTAAATACGCTGCTTTTAAGCGATCGATACTGATGCTACCGTTGGTTCCGTTCTTATCGACTATATAGTACTTAGATTCACGTTGAAGAACTTTGAAGGGTCCTTCGTATGCTGATTCGAAGGGTCGTCGATGCGAGTCTCGACGAACGAAAACGTGTGTACTATATCGTAAGTCAGGTTGAACGAAAACATCAGTTGATTGAGGTCGAGTGGAAGCAGGTTTAACTGAACGCATTGCGTTTGTAAGCCTGTTCGTGTAGGAGGTTAGATCCATGTTCATTGAAGAGGATGAAGGATCCACGAATTCTCCTGGAAGTCGAAGTGTCGTACCATAAACGAATTGAGACGCAGTGTATCCAATGTCAGCTTTCACTGCATTGCGAATACCTAGTAAGACGAGTGGAAGAGCGTCGGTCCACTGTGAAACGTTTGCAGCTGATAGCGAAGCTTTCAGTTGTCGGTGAAAACGTTCTACCAACCCGTTTGCTTGTGGATGGTAGGCGGTCGTTCGGAATCGAGTGATTCCTAAAAGTGTGGTCAGACGACGGAAAAGATCGGATTCAAACTGACGTCCGCGGTCTGTAGTGATGGTTGAAGGGCAGCCGAAGTTTGCTACCCATCGTTCGACGAAGGTGCGGGCCACTGTTTCAGCAGTGATGTCCTTGATAGATACTGCTTCTGGCCATCGAGTGAAACGGTCTACGCAGGTTAAGAGATAAGAGTATCCATTTGAATCTGGTAAAGGTCCTACCAAATCCAGATGAACATGGTCGAAACGAGCATCGGGAGTTTTAAACGAGCCTAAGGGACATTTATTGTGTCTGATAACCTTAGATTTTTGGCAGCTTACACAGGAGCGTGCCCACTCCCTCACGTCTTTATTCATTCCAGGCCAGCAAAACCTTTCTGCTATAAGCTTGACGGTTGCACGAACACCTGGATGAGAAAGTTTGTGCAATGTGTTGAAGACATTGCGTCGATAATGTTTCGGCACGATTGGGCGATCCCTACCTGTAGATGTGTCACAAAGTAAGGTTTCCTTACCTGTTCCCATCTGTTTGATGCGTAGTTTAAGTGTTGTGGACGATAACTCGTGCTGAAGATCACTGTCTTCTTTTTGAAGCTGGGCGAGTTTAAGAAGGTCGATTCCTTGGAAACTGTTCAAGGAAGTTATACGAGATAAAGCGTCTGCAACTACATTGTTTGCTCCAGAGATGTGTTGAATGTCTGAAGTAAACTGCGAAATGTAGTCCAGTTGTCGAGACTCACGGGGAGAGTACTTGTCAGAAGGAGAGCTTAACGAGAAAGTGAGCGGTTTATGGTCCGTGAAAAGAGTGAATTCACGACCTTCGATGTAGTGTTGGAAATGCCGTACAGCACAATACATAGCTAGGAGTTCCCTACCGAATGTGCTGTACCTCGATTCGGTGTCTAGCAACCTTCTAGAGAAAAATGCCAAGGGTTGCCAGGAGTTGTTAACCCATTGTTGTAAGACTCCTCCGATTGCCGAGTCGGATGCGTCTACTGCGATGCTAATGGGTGCTCGGGTGTCCTGATGTGCGAGCATTGTTGCTTTAGCAATCAGTTCCTTAACTGTGGAGAATGCTTTTCGTGCGGTGTCGTCCAAATTAATGGATTTCGCATTTCCACGAAGTTGGTCGGTCAGAGGTTTCATAAGTGATGCGCATTTGGGTATGAAACGTCTATAGAAACTTACCAGGCCGTTAAACGTGCGTAATTGCTTGACGGTGGTCGGTTCTGGGTAATCCAGAATGGCCGCCACTTTGGTCCTAAGAGGTCGAATGCCTTGAGCATCGATAGAGTGTCCTAGGAAGTCTAACGAGTCGGTTCCGAATTGGCATTTCTGAACGTTTACAGTTATGCCATGTTTTTGAAGTCGTTCGAAAACAAGATCCAGATGCTTGAGATGTGTTTCTCTGTCCGGACTTGCGATTAGACAGTCGTCAACATACGCGTGTACGAAGTTGAGACCTCGAAAAACGTCGTCTATGAATCTTTGGAATGTTTGAGCAGCATTCCTTAGACCGAAAGGCATTCGCAAAAATTCATAGAGTCCGAAAGGAGTTATGATAGCTGTTTTCGGTATGTCGTCAGTAGCCATAGGGATTTGGTTATACGCTTTAACCAAGTCGATTTTCGAAAAGACAGTTGTACCTTTCAAGGTAGCTGTCAAATCGTGAATGTGAGGCAACGGGTAACGATCGGGAATGGTTTTCGCGTTCAATCGCCGATAGTCACCAGTTGGACGCCAATCGTTGCTGTCCTTTTTAGGGACCATGTGCAACGGAGATGCATATGGGCTACTTGACGGTCGTATGATTCCTAAGTCCATCATGTGATCGAATTCGTT